GGGGCACGGAGAGTCCGACAGCAAATCCAACGGGTAGGGGGAGCTCCGATGACTGGGGCACAACCACCGGGAGTAGGAGGAAGCGTGCTGTAGAAATGTTTACGGTTCTGACCTTAAACCTTCTTTCATTTCAATTCTGTAGAAGAGAACTACCGCGAGCAGGGGAAAGTATGCTACATCAATGCTTAGTTGAGTTATAATTACTTGCCTTGACTTCGCCTATTTTCTTTCAGCGTTTACTGACGAAGAAAAACAGGGTTTAGCAAAGCACAATGAATTCCGACAAGTACACGAGGCTCCTGCTATGTCACTGGACAGACAAATGTGTGATCAGGCGAAACAGTACGCTCAGACGATTGCAGATATGGGTAGCCTAGTACATTCGCCGAGCAGTGACAGAGATGGACAGGGAGAGAATCTTGCCGTGGAATGTTTATCAAACGGTTCACCAACCATAGAGGACGCCGTGACAAATTGGTGAGGTTGAATCTCGCTTTCTTGCTGCGCGGAAACTCGATTAAGTGTAGTATTCAACCTTGGCCTTTGAGAGTAAGCTCACGAGGCTATCCTACACAATGATGTCATTTCCAGGAAATTTACCCCCAAACCTCGCTTTCACTAAATTCTCCCTGAATCTTTGCTAAGTTCCTATCGTTTACCCGTGGGTGTTCCTTTTATTTTTGGCCCTATTCCCCATAAAAAGAGAAAGTAACAGTTATGGTAATTAATTTTTTTTTGTTTCAGTGTTTTGGGTATGCTTTTAATTTTGAATTACATTTTACCAGTTCGCTACTTGAGGGTAAGGCGTAGAGGACGGAATTGACTACTGCAACGTAAAAATAAACCAGGCCTTCTTTCACCAATCTGGTTACAATCCTTTTCTTAGAAGTAGGGTGTAGTAACCCTGACTATTTCTGAATGATATGATTCGAAACACTAAGGAGTAACCACCCTTCCAGACAAAACATCTGAAACAAATATCGAATATATTTGGCGCTCTGCAATAGCGGCCCGCACATAACCCATGCTAACGTTCAATCCAGTTTCTTGCTGTAACCCTCATTGGTGTCACTTCATGTTACAGTTAATCACCTGACACCTTGTAATATGCTAACAGGAATCCATTGTGACATCTTCATCGGTTAAGACAAGCATCCCCGAAACCAAAACTTTTTTGTGTTCCTTTTCCTTCTTACTATTTTTTCTTACTGTTATCCAATTACTCTTCTTCTATTCTTGTTATAGTCTTTCGCCAACTCCTATAATCAATTTTTACGGAAGCAGACTTAAGGATACAAAAGAATTCATAATATTTTTACATAGTCACACTCTTCTGTCACGCTTTCTTTTCACGAGAGACCAGGACAGAATTTCCCCCCAACAGTATCAATACAATATCAAGCAGAAAACTCATGTGAGTGAAGAAAAATATCACTGTAGGGGATTATTAAGTGATCCAACATCAAATTTCCACAACAAATATCTTAGGAATTTTATAGAGAATAATCGAGCCAAAAGCCGAGCCAAAACACCAATGGTTATACCAAACTCGCCAGATGAGCTACCTTAGCACAAATTTAGTACCCGAATAGTGCTTGGAATCTATTCAAATTTTCAATTGTTACAGGTCCCATGAAAAAAGCGCTCACGAAAATGTGATACGAGTTAACAAACGGCGTAAAAAGGAATAGATGAAAGAGATAATAAATTTTAGTGAATATAGCGAGCAAAGTGGCAAATCAGGGTGGTGAAACATACGTGAAACCCATGTCTGCAAAACTATTTTAGGTATTTGAAAACATGACACAGGGGTAGAACTGCTTGAATTAAAACTGTGAGGACAGTCTCGACAAAATCGGAACACATAAGGTCGCTAATCATGGACGATACTCTCCGCCGTGTGTTTCGTGATGAGTGACGCCAAAGCAGTCAAATTTATGCCTAAGACATTGCTGTGAACGCTGATTTTTCTTTTCCTTTATTTTTGTGTTCTCTTTATGTAGTCTCAATGTTTTCCAGGTACAACGAGGTCTGTGATCCGGGATACGATTTTACCAGCCCTCCTTCTCTGCTGGAACAGGCCACTTTACACAGGTAGTTTGGAAAGGCAGTACAGTTCTCGGAATCGGACGGGCAGAGGGTACAATGCGAGGAATGAAATGCACATATACTGTGGCCAGATACAGACCAGCTGGAAACATGATGGGGGCCTTTGCCCAAAATGTGGTGGTTGGTTCCTTTGATAGTGACAGCTACTGTGCATCAGTTTCAAGTAAAAGACGAAGGTTCTTTGACAAGTATGGAAAAGCAGTCAAGGTGAATGGTATTAAAGCTCCAACCTTTAAAACGGGACCAGCAGAGAGTCGTGCCCGGCAGGTTGAGTTATTGAGAAGCAAGAAGAAAACTGCTTCGCACAAGCACAATAAATGAGTCTCTCTGTGAAAAAAAAATGTATACATATTGACATTTAGTAATTGGTATGATTATTAAAGAGTTGATTAAAAGATAAAACCACCAAACACCGCTGTCTCACTCCGTTGCTTACGGTAATCTTTGAGCTCCAACATTCAGTTCAAGAATGTGGCTGAGTTTATCTTTTAAAAATCTGGAAATATAAGGAAATCCTAACGTCCCCAACTGCAAGTGGGAAGGTTTGAAGTCTACATTTTGACCACGATGTGGGCTTCCGCACCTCACAAACTTTAGATCAGTAAAGGTTTTGCAAGCAGGAAAAGGCGTTAGCAATTCACTACTCTCTTGCCAATATCAGCCAATAGCTTTTTTGTTTAGTAAACTAAACAGATACTTGTAAAAAATGTTTCAAAGTTTGTTTGGAAGCCTTTGAAATCACTTTTATCGCTACAGAAAAAGAAAAATTTTCGGTAAAGTCTCTCTCATAAATTTGCATAATCTCTCTTTATACTAACCTATACTCGCTCAAAAATTATTCAGTTTAAGGAGGATCTAAAGTGTAACTTTGTATGATGAAAATAACAGAAAAGAAGAATGGTCGAACATATCTTGAGATTATATCAGCTTTTGTTTTATGAATAGGGTCGGAGAAGGGTGGAAAAATTATCTGTCAAAGATACTTGTTTCTATTATAGCCAAAAGAGCTTAAGAGGTTTGACCTATGTTTAATAGGTATATTCAAATAAGAAGTTAACTTCCTCGACAGCAGTAAGGTAAGACAGAGCTAGAGCTGATGAAAGCCTAAGGCTGGTGTTAAAACGTAAAGGAACAATTTAAAAGAAAGAGCGCTTTCAAAGAAGAGAGGATTTTTAAATTTTCAAACTGGACCCCTGGAGCTACTTGACCTGTCTCCTTTTCACAAACTATGGCTGAGTTTAAAAAACTGCTCCATTTTCGGTGTGAAGTAAAGCTAGGCTAGTCAGCATTTTCAAGGTTGATTTTTAAGACTTCGGTCACGAACTTAAGCCGTTTATGTAGTGACGACTCTGATTTTTCAGAAAAATCAGAGGTTATGCGCCAGTTTTTCTGTCGTTCAAGCGGGCCACCACCGTGCCCAAAAAATCGATCGACGAGGAAAATATCGATCGCATTCCAATCACTCTCACATTTCACCCTCGCAACTACGTAGTTAAATCTATCGTTATTAAGAACCGAGAACACTTTCGCGTCTTATAGAGAAATGACAAGGACGCATCCAAACCAGTCGCTAGACACTTTAATCTTCCTAATCATTCTAAACAGCATTTGGCGGTTCGCGGCCTTTCCCTTAATCAAGGCAATTCGGAAAGCCGCACAACTCTAGATCAAAAATTCATTCAGCTAATTTATACTTGTTGTCTCCTCACCATATTCCCACCAATAGCGTAGCTCCATACAAACAATTTTCCATTCGCTCTGACGAAAGGCTAGCCGGCGCTCAAAATGTCAGCTTTGAAACTCTTAACGGTGCCCAATTTAAGCTATCGACTCAGTTGATAATACTAAACTGCCCTCTTATACTCTCCCACTGACGCAGAACCACAGTTTCTTAAGAAACATACCCCATTTTTTCAGATGAAGACTTATCAATTGATGAGGTGTCGTAGAATCTTCTTTTAAACGAGACATGCATGATCTCACGTTGCCCTTTCCCGATTAACAAGCACGATTACACTTATAACTTCGTTTATCTTCTACCCACGACATCTTTTCTGCTCGACTACTCACTAGTGGGAGCTTCAATACTGTGCGACTCCCTTTCATTCCTTTCACTCGAAAACTAGAGAGTTTTCAATCCAAGTCAGATTTGGCGAAGTAAGACACGTAATAAAGAATTAGGGGACTGAGAAGTACCAGCTGGAACAATTCTTCAAGAGAGGAAAATGTTGGTGGATTTCACGTGAGGAGATTCTATGGGTCTACTAATCAGTTCACACGAGAAAAGTCCAACAAAGTCAAATGATTCACATCGCTTAACAATCGTTTTTTCAATTCTCTTAAAATAACACACCATTCCCGCACTTCACTAAGATTACAGGTTATGTGAATGTGATTTATGAATTTATGAAAAAACCGCCATATTACGAGCGACATGAATTCGTCAAAAACTTTTCATTTACTGCACCGATAAACTCATAGAAAACCGAAACATTTTAAGTTATCTTATAAAAGTAATAACCCGCGCTCCTTAAACTAGTTTACCGGCGTATTGACCCACTTGGAATGCTGGAAGGCTATTAAACTGGCTAGGTTTCCCAGGCTTTTGAAAAATTAGATAAAATCTTTCTTTGATTCATGTGTGATCTCAATATTTACTATGCTGACGATTTCGTACAGTCCAATTACCAAATACAATACAAAACGAGAGAGAGTTTCTCACAATATAGGTTTAACGTTCCAGATTACGTCAAAGTGCAAAGATCATTTTGCCACGTTAACTTACAAAAATGCAAAAAACAGGTATTATTGTCTAGAATAAGCCAATAACCTTTCTTCACGGTAAACTAAGGAATACAGTTATTGACCCAAGGACATTATTTCACTTTACTTCTTGGCAAAGCAAACATCGTCCGTCACTTCTGGCACAATCTGTCACCAAAACTCGACAAACTTTTGGTAAGAGATTTGAAGAACGTTAACGTTGTTTTAACATTGAACACATTCACCTCATTTCTTTTTACCTGTGCGTAAAATCATAAGTGGTTAAAAATGATGTGAAATATACAAAGCATTTTTAAGATGTAACTGGTCAGTGTTACCAAAAGAATTGAATGGGAGATGTGTAGTAATATCTTCAGAAAAAAGTTTTTAAATTTGACTTTTCAAAAATAGAAAGAACATTAAAACAGAAAAAAAAACTTCAAGAATGTTTTACGGATAAACTCTGAAATCAGTTAATTAACCAGTTACCGTTGTCATTCGGTGAGAGCGCGGATACCTTTGGTTCTGTTCGTTTTTTTATCGGTTGATTTGGAAGTTTTAGACATCACTTGCTAGAGATTGAATGAACACTTGTTAATTTTCGGTATTTCTGCATCAGAGATACATGATAAAAATTTCCATCATTAATACTACTACAGAGTCATTTCTGATTCATTCAAATTGAAAACTACCAGAATAAGAATTTCACGTTAGTGATTTGGTTATCTAAAACAGATCTCTTTTTCACCTCTTCATTACTTTACTTTCCTATGCAGGATTTCCTTTAGAGAATGTGGTCTTGTTATCTCTTGCTTGCCATTGCAGCAGTTGATGGAGGTAAAGGAGATTCCTTTTTGAATGATGAAGCTTAAATTCGGCAATTTTCTTCTGTGTAACTGATCGATTTTTCACTATTCCGTATGTCAGGGGTGTCTCAGGGGTATGACCAGATTGATTATAATATGTCCGTGCCGTTGCAAGGGGAAAGTTTTGTTTATCGGAAACAAATAAAGCAAAAAATCCATAGGATAGGTTACTAAAACGAAATCTAAGTAAGGCTACAGATGTAGAGAACCAATAGATCTCCAAATATTTTGAGCCCGTTGTTTGAGTTAAAACAAAATTTATCCAGTCATATTAATGAGCCGTCCTGATTTTTTGGAACAGAACTACCGCGAGCAGGGGAAAGTATGCTACATCAATGCTTAGTTGAGTCATAATTATTTGCCTTGACTTCGCCTATTTTCTTTCAGCGTTTACCGACGAAGAAAAACAGGGTTTAGCAAAGCACAATGAATTCCGACAAGTACATGAAGCTGCTGCTATGACACTGGACAGACAAATGTGTGATGAGGCGAAACAGTATGCTCAGACGCTTGCAGTTATGGGTAGCCTGGTACATTCGCCGGGCAGATACAGAGCTGGACAGGGAGAGAATCTTGCCGTGGGATGTTCAACAGACGCTCCACAAACCATAGAGCAAGCCGTGACAAATTGGTGAGGTTATATTTCGCTTTCTTCCTGCGCGGAAAATTCTATTATGTGTAATATTCAACTTTGGCTTTTGAGAATAAGCTCACGAGGCTATCCTACACAATGATGTCATTTGCTGACAATTTACCCCCAAACCTCGCTTTCACTACATTCTTCCCGAATCTTTGCTAAGTTCTTATCGTTCGCTTATGGGTGTTCCTTTGATTTTTGGCTCTATTCCCCATAAACAGAGAAAGTAACGATGTTGGTCATTAATTATTTTTTTTATTTCAGTGTTTGGGAATGCTTTTTCTTTTGAATTACATTTTACCTGTTCGCTCCTTGAGGGTGAGACGTAGAGGGTGGAATTTTATATTTCAACGTAAAAATACACCAGGCCTACTTCCACTAATCTTGTTACAATTCTTTTCTTAGAAATAGGGTGTAGTAACCCTGACTATTTCTGAATGATCTGATTCGAAATACTTAAGAGCAACCACCCTTCCAAACAAGACATCTGAAACAAATATCGGATATATTTGGCGCTCTGCAATAGCGGCGCGTACACAACCCAAGCAGTCCATACCACTAACGTTCAATCCAGTTTCTTTCTGTAACCCTCATTGATGTCACTTCATGGTACGGTTAATAACCTGATACCTTGTAATATGCTTATGGGAATCCATTGTAACTTCTTCATTGGTTAAGACAGGCATCGCCGGAACCAAAACTATTTGCGTTTCTTTTCCTTTTTGCTCTTTGTTTCTTACTGTTATCCAATTACTCTGCTTCTATTCTTGTTATAGTCTTCCACCAACTCCTAGACACAATTTTTGCTGAGGCAGACTGAAGGGTACAAAAGAATTCATAATATTTGAGCCTTGTCACACCTTTCTGGCACGCTTCCTTCTCATGAGAGACCAGGACAGAATTTCCCCTAACATCATCAATACAATATCAAGCAGAAAACGGCGTAAAAAGGAACAGATGAAAGAGAAAATAAATATGGGTTTCACGAATATAAAATATTCGTATTATTTGAATACTCGACGTAGGGGTACAATTGCTTGAATTAAAACTGCGGGGACAATTTCGAAAAAATCGGAACACCAAGGGTTGCTAATCATGGACGGTACTCTCCGCCGTGTGTTTCGTGAAGAGTGAAGCCAAAGCAGTCAAAGTAATGCCCAAGACGTTGCTATGACTGCTGGTTTTTCTTTTCCTTTATTTTTTGTTCTCTCTATTTAGTCTCATTGTTTTCCAGGTACAACGAGGTCTGTTCTCCGGGATACGATTTTACCAGCCCATCCTTCTCTGCTGGAACAGGCCACTTTACACAGGTAGTTTGGAAAGGCAGCACTGTTCTTGGAATCGGACGGGCAGAGGGTACAATACGGGGAATGAAATGTGCATATACTGTGGCCAGGTATAGACCAGCTGGAAACTTGATGGGGGTATTTGCCCAAAATGTTGTGGTTGGTTCCTTTGATAGTGACAGCTACTGTGCATCAGTTTCAAGTAAAAGACGAAGGTTCTTTGACAAGTATAGAAATACAGGCAAGGTGAATGGTACCAGAGCTCCAACCTTTAAAACGGGACCAGCTGAGAGTCGTGCCCAGCAGGTTGAGTTATTGAAAAGCAAGAAGAAAACTGTTTCGCACAAGTACAATAAATGAGTCTGTGAAGAAAAAAAGTATATATATTGACATTAGTGATTGTCATGATTATTAAATAAAGAGTTGATTAAAAGATAAAACCACCAAACACCGCTGTCTCACTCTGTTGCTTACGATAATCTTTATGAGCTCCAACATTTAAGATTGTGGCCGAGTTTATCATTTAAAAACCTGGAAATATAAGGAAATCCTACCTGCAATTGTGAAGGTTTGAAGTCTACGTTTTGACTAAGATATGGGTTTTCGCACCGCACAAGCTTTAGATCAGTAAACGTGTTGTAAACAGGAAAAGGTGTTAGCAATTCACTGGTCTCTCGCCAACATCAGCCAATAGCTATTCTGTTTAGTAAACTTAGGATCACAGCTGTCACCTTGAAGACATTGTTTCATTTTACTGTCTAACAGGGCAAACATTATCTGTTACTTCTGGCAAAATCCGCTAACAAACTCCAAAAGATTTCTGGTAAGAGATTTGAAGTATATTACTTTTAAAGAACAAAACCTATCACTGTTAAGTCATTGTTAAGGTTAAGGCCAAATCAAGTTGTCGGCGACGAAACCTGATGACAACGTGGAAACGTTCAAATTTATTTTCAAAGTGTTAAGAGGTCCTTTGCATTGTAATTGATTAAATATTTTAAAAAAGGGTTTTTGATTTTTCAATCAATGACGAGGGGAGAGGCAAATTTACCTTGTAAGACTGACCATGAGACGTATTAAATACGACCTCTCCGCCAAAGATCTCTTGCCCATAATGGATTATTCCTCAATATCCACATTAGTGCAATTGGCCTAGTCTAAACATCTGAAGACTTTCCTCGCCATGTTGAAATTAAAAAAAAAATAGAAGATTGCTCACTTGGGTACTTTTCGAAGTCTTTCCTTTTTTCTTATCTTAAATTTGCCTTTTGCATTTAGGACTTCCTTAAAAAAATGTTGCTTTGGTGTCTTCTATTTTCCATCGTTGCTGCCCAAGGAGGTAAAAACGATTTCATTTATTGAACTGTCTGAATTTAACAGCACAGTTCTTCTTCTTATTGACTCATGAATTTTGCTTCATGCTGCGGGTAAACGACGAGGAGAATGAAATGGCTTTCGGTGGTATAACAGTTACTATAGCCTTATTAAACTAACGATTGTCATTCTCATAAATGAAAATAAAAGAAAAACACTTTTAAAAACTGGACAGCGAAAACAAATTTATTACATTCATAGCTTCTCTCCGCAGGAAAATATTTTATTTGGATCAAATTCCTCATCGTGCTCTTGCTCGTTGTGCATCTGTTCTCTTGTAAAGTATGTTGTTTCAACCGACCTGAGCGCGCGCCAAGTGGAAATCTTAATGTAATCATATATGTTGTTTAATTGATTATTAAACTGCCTTCATGCATGGACTTTCTATCTAAGATCACCCCATAAATTCCATCGCCGTGGCTTAAACTCATATCTTTTTTTTAAAAACTACTTATCATCTATCGGTACCGTCCTTTTCCTTGGTTGTCACAGACATGGACCACGATGCTCCCATTACAATCTATGGCACTGGGATAATAAAACAGAACGGCACAGCCAATATGAATTTACAGATTAAGATAGGTGGACGTAAGGCAGGAGGTGTACCAGGAATTCCAATGGGAGGTGCAGCTCCATTGATAGGGAAAGAACAGCCCTTACAAGGAGGAGGTATGGTTTGTAAATTCAGTCTTCGCTATTTGGTTTAGTTTTGATGTGATTTTAAAGTTCGACGGTCATTTTGTATCTAAAATAGCATCGCAAAAGCTGGATACAATCAGTTTTCCCTCCCATTAGTCCATGCAGTTTGTTTCATTAACCCTTTCACTCCCAAGATCTAATTAGTTATTCTCCTTACTGTCTGCCATACAATTCTTACGATGTTAGTTTAGAGTATTTGGTATTGGATCAACTAATAATTCCATAATTAATATTTTTCTTTATTCTCTGCTTGCTTGATATTGTATTAATATTGTAAGGAGAAATTCTGTCTTAGTCACTTGTGGTAGTGAGAGGGTGAAATCATCTTCCTAATACAATTCTTATGATGTTAGATTAGAGTATTTGGTATTGGATCAACTAATAATTCCATAATTAGTATTTTTCTTCATTCTCATCACCTACCTGCTTGATATTGTATCAATATTGTAAGGAGAAATTCTGTCTTGGTCACTTATGGGAGTGAAAGGGTTAAATCATCTTTCTAATTTTGAGATCAATGAAGTAAACCCGGTTATCATCTTATATACCATAGCTTGACCTCATATGGGTAATAATCACATTGTCCAAAGCATCAGTTTCCTTTTTGTGGGGGGGAGGGGAGACAAAAATTAAGGTATAAGCGAAAACCAACATAAGAATGGAAAAAAGGTGAAAGAAACATCCTCACATGGCCAGCCTCGTTTAACAAGAAAAACTAAATGAATCTTGTATTCTGTTTGGCTACCCAAAGTGATTGGTGAAGTAATCTTGCTCACTCGGGAATTCCTGCTTTGATCCAACGCATTCCTATTAACCTAATAGCCCATAAAATTAAATAGGTTCCACAGTTTAGAAATCGTCATGTGCAGCTCCTTCGCAAATTTCACTACTAAATGGTAAAGGGTAACGTGTTATACAAACTACAAATGATTACGGTTTTCTTCTCCTGTCCTTGAAAAGACATAAGCCAGCATCAGAAAAAGCTTCATGATCCTTTGCTTATCATTATCATTAGTAGTCCCGTTGACGAGCCAAGTACAGTTAGTGATTTATTTTACTTGGAGAATTAATAGTCTGATCCCACTGTCGTGTTAAGAAAGTAGTAAAGAGAGTAAGTAATAATTCTGAATAGTCCAGCCTCAGGCCTGAATTCCAGAACCCCTCCCTTTCCCCCGCCCTCTTATTTACCACCCATGCAAGGACAGTACCACTTAAATACTTGTTCTTGATTAGAACTTTCCTCGCTGTTCGTTTTCTATAGTCACTTTTTATGAAGGAACTCTCCTTCATTTTAAGTGTTTATATAGATACGGAGCCACGAAAAAGGGATCTTTTGAATCAAAGGTATCAGTCCAAAAAAATTTTCCAGCATGTCTTCACTTTGTCTTTTCAGAGTTAACCGAAGAAGAACAACAGGGTTTAGCAGCTCACAATGAATTTCGACAAATACATCACGTTCCTGCGATGACACTAGATAGACAAATGTGCGATGAGGCTCATCAGTACGCCAAGCGGCTTGCACGTATGGGTCGGCTTGAGCATTCAAAGGATAGAGAAAGAGATGGACAGGGAGAAAATCTTGCTATGGGATGTTCATCAGGTGCTTCGCCGCAAAATGTGGAGCAAGCCGTGAACAGCTGGTGGGCTCAGTTTTATTTCTTAGATCAATTTTCCGAAGGGTTGTTGACATCTTAATGAAATATTCCAAAGATAGATGTCAGTGATCGGGGTAAAAAAATCTCATCTCAAGGACTTATTATAACAACCTTGACTACATTTTTAAAAACTTTATCCTGAAATACTCCGCATCAGCATCTAAAAAAAATTATATGCGACGGTACTAAACGAAGAATTCTGCACCAGAGAGTTACTTAGAACAGAGAACTTATTTTAGAACCAGTTTGGATTGAGGAATATGAAGTTAGGGGCTTCAAGTGTGAAGATTCCATCCCTTATTACGGGCGTTTATTCCAAATAGGGCAATGCAGAGGATTTAGTCAAATGAACTCGTTTCGAAGAGTTTCTCCATTGTGCCTTTTCTATCAGTGCTTCGTCCTTTAAATTCGCACGCTGTCTTTTTTCTTATTAGCTTCTTTTGAGCTCTCCTACGAAATAATACAATCTCCACCTGCGTTACCACCATGCAGGAACAATGTGTTTGATGGATTGTGACAATTTAACGTCGCTTCATTTGAAAAGAACACAGTTTTTGAGAACTCTGAGCACTGCAAAATTGGTAGCCCATACCATTCGATATTCATTTAGCTTCTCTCCTTCCCCTGATGAGTGTAAGTTGGTAAATATAATCGCCAGTTGATGATCAGGTACCCACGATACACGTGCTTGTACCAGGAGAACAAAAATAATGCTATCGCTGGGTCAAAAAAGCATCACTGAAAGGCGTGGCGTTTCTCCGTACCATTCCCTTCTTACCGTTACTCAATTAACCAGCTTCTTTTTTCGTTTCATTCCCCCTACCAATTTAGGAGCAGTTTTTTTCCGGAGCTAATTAAATGATAAAAAGTGGTCCATGATAAAAATTTTTAACCTAAAAATCTGCCTTCGCAAATCACATATTTTGCTTTTTCTGTTTTTGTACTCTTTCTCTATTATCTTCCAGGTACAACGAGGTCTGTCGTCCAGGATATAGCTTTTATACCCCCTCCTTCAGCGGTGGGACAGGCCATTTCACTCAGGTAGTGTGGAAAGAAAGCATTTTTCTTGGTATTGGACAAGCTTCAGGGGAGAAAAACGGCATGAAATGTACTTATACTGTGGCTAGATATAAACCGGCTGGGAACATTTTCGGAGAGTTTTCCGAAAATGTGCCAAAAGGAAACTTTGATAAGGAAAGCTATTGTGCATCAGTTAAGAGACATACCGTCTTGGACAAGCACGGAAAGGCAGCTTTGCTTAACGATTCAAATGCCACAATGGGGTCGGCTGAACTTCGCGGCCAATACGAGGAACAATGAAATAGCAAGAACGAAGGTATTACCAAAAAAAAAAAATCAAATTACCATGAATAAAAGAACTTTAATCAAATCCCGTTGTTTCCTTTAATTCTGAGCTGTGTCATATTGATGATTTAATGCCATTGAAATCTTAGCACAAGGCCAAAGATCCTTCCTATTGGTCTTTGTCTTTGTCTTCTTTTTTTTTGTTTTTAAATTTTTTTAAAAATTGGGCGAAAAGATTCCTACTCTTACATTTCATTATTTTCAAGTTTATTCATTCACTTATTCATTTCACTTATTCACCTATTTCCATTATTTTTTTCTGTGATGATGGGAGGGGTGGGGGGCACCAGAGTCCTCATTCAGTCTACCCTTTTATAAAAATTTCGAATCAGTTAAGAATAAAACCTAAACAGTAGAGCACGTCGTTATTATTTTTGCTATTACGCGGATTAAAACACACGCGAAAGAAAACACGCGCAAATAAAAGCATTAACAAAACAAAAGTTGTAATACAAGACAAGACATGGCGTTGTTCGCCCTATATATATATATATTTATTTTATCGCACTACACTACATAACAATGTTTCGAGCCTAGCAAAATAAACAATTAACCATGCTTGTGATGGGAAATGTGACCTTTCTTTTTGCTGTTTAACAGCCCAAGGTCCTCGCCTCGCTGCTTTTTAAATCCAGTCTTTTTAGTCTTCCAGGCGTCCTTGACCGGAGGAGCTGAAATGGAAAGAAGAAAGTCAACAAAAGTAATTAGCTGCCTTTAAGACCTACACTTTCCAGAGTTTACGGAAACTTTGATTTTTCGCCTTAGAATTCGAAAGATTAAATAGATTCCGATTCTATGTCATCAAACCAAACCATGTTTTCTATTATCAGTAATTTTATACCATTAGTAACGGTAATTCCGTCATTGTATTTATTAAAGATAAGTGAATGCAAAAAGTCAGAATATAGAGCAAAACAGCTCACCAGTTTCTCCTGCTAGGCCTCCTGCCGGGAATGCCCCTCCTTGTTGGCCACCTGCAGTAAGACCAGTAGCAGGTATTCCTGCTCCAAATCCTCCTTCCGAACCTCCTACTCCTCCTTCTGGGGCTCCTAACCCTCCCACTGGGGCTCCTAAACCTCCCTCTGGGGCTCCTAACCCTCCTTCTGGGGCTCCTAATCCTCCCACTGGGGCTCCTAAACCACCTTCTGGGGCTCCTAACCCTCCTTCTGGGGCTCCTAATCCTCCGACTGGGGCTCCTAAACCTCCTTCTGGGGCTCCTAACCCTCCTTCTGGGGCTCCTAATCCTCCCACTGGGGCCCCTAACCCTCCTTCTGGGGCTCCTAACCCTCCCTCTGGGGCTCCTAACCCTCCTTCTGGGGCTCCTAACCCTCCTTCTGGTGCTCCTAACCCTCCTACTGGGGCTCCCAGCCCTCCCTCGGGGGCTCCTAACCCTCCTACTGGGGCTCCTAACCCTCCCACTGGGGCTCCTAACCCTCCCACAGGCGCTCCTAAACCTCCTCCTGTGCCTCCCAGCCCTCCTGTTGTGCCAACTGCGCCTCCCAGCCCTCCTGTTGTGCTAACTGCGCCTCCTGGGGCTCCTAACCCGCCTGCTGTGCCACCTAGCCCTCCTGCTACCCCTGCTTGACCTCCTGATTTGCCCCCTGTTCCTCCTAGTGGACTGACTGCGCCTCCTCCAAGACCACCTGTCACGCTTCCTACGCGTGTGCTGCTTCCTTTCTTTCCAGATATGCCAGCTATCTTACTTGCTGTTCCAATTACCTTACTTGCTACCTTTCCTGCCTTTCCTCCCTTCAATGCTATGCTTCCAACTTTTGCTGCCAGGCCCAATAATCCAAGAGGTTTTGGTTGGCCACCCATTTCTTTTGATGGACCATTAACACCTCCTCCTTCGGGTTCTACCCCTCCTCCCAGCCCCTCATCAGGTCCTTCAGCTGCCGTTCCCTGCCCACCAATTTGTCCTACCGGTCCTTCTATGTCAACTTGTAGATTTAATCTGGTTGCGCCGTTTTTTTTTATTGTTCCAGTGCCAGAGATAGTTAATTGAGAATCTTGGCCCACCTCTGAAACAATCAATAAATAGTACCCCTTTGATGAATATAAGGTGAAGGTGATTGCGGATTTTTGAACCACTACTTTGTCTTGGTTAGTAAAAAGCAAGTCGGTCAGTAATCAGCCTTCTTGAACGAACAAGATTATAATTTTGAGGTTTCCTACATGGCTAAAACAAAAGGGTGGCACGGTGAATTTAGGGAACTCGTCGTGTAATTTTCTTCTGCGGAATTAAAAAGGAAGATAGTCACACTCGGATGGCCAATCAAAACTTTAGGATTCGCCTCATATTGCTCGTTAACGGAGGTGGCCTTTCAATGACAAATAACTGAAAAGAGAAACAAAGAAAAGGGGAAGACATTGTAAAAACCTCCTTAAATTTATGGGTATATCAAATGTTTCAGTTCGATTCCTTTGTTTTTCTAAGCTTCACTATCGAAACTCGCAATCATTTTGGAGGGTCATGAGCGCAGTTATCATATTTCATAAAGCTTCAGAAAGGCCAAGTGGCAGTCGAAATTTTATGACTTAAAAGGTACAACTGAAAAAACACTGAAAATTTGTTAATGAACATAAGAGAAGAAACGATCTACGACATACCTCCCCCTTCAACAGGGACTACTGCCCTTCCCCTGAGAGTTCCTGCCCCCAATGGTGGAACTTCTCTCGTAGAAGTCATACGCCCTTTAGAAAGAACGCGAAATAAACTCTTGAGTTACAAGCCGTCAAGAGAATAATTCAATAACAGTTTTGAGTAGTTCTGGTGCAATAAGATAAAAATAATAGCAGTATCAGTGTTGGTGTAAAGCAAGTGCTAGAAACAAAAGTATTAGCTGTGACAAAAGCAGTGGCAGTTTCTGGAGCAGATGCGTAATGAAAGTCGAACCTTTTTGTTTCAAAAAAAGGTTTCCATTTTATTCAAATTTACTTTAATTTCATATCACATCACCCTCGAGGCTTCACGAGTATTTTAAAATTTTTCCTTGGCATATATGAATGTAACTCGTAGACGTATGGTTAGTAATTGTTCTGCGATAAAGGAGTAGATTCCGAACACCTTGAATTTCTGAGCAGGGTTTTGAGCGATATTTTGATAGATCGATATAGATATTATTCCAAAAAGCCTATTTTAAACTGAACCTATTTGTATGAAGAGTCAATAGTCAATTTTTTCTTTGCTCTTACTACCTCTGAAACGTCCTCTGTTTCTTCGATGTCGGGCTGCAATGTAGAATAAAATTATTACTTGGGAAGACGAAAAGAAATGTAACGTTAAACTGGACGAGTTGCTTCTGTTTTACCTCCTTCTACTGCTACAACAGCCAACAGAAGAAAACGAAGCCACATGGTTTTAAATTAGTCCTGAATGAAATAAAAAAGACGAGCGGTTAGCGAATAAGGAAATTTCTGAGAGAAATTTTTTGAAACGTGGGAAAACTTTCGATTCTTAGTCCAGCGGGTTGAAATTTGACCATAAATCGATGATCGTGCTTGATTCAGATGAGAGAAGGGATAAAATTCAAAAGTCTACACATGTTCACAAGTATTGGATTTCATTGATTTGGAAATCAGTGAAGGATCCTCTGCGCTGCACGGACGAATAAGTGCGGCGCTTTATCATAATTAGCACTTTGTCTTAGTTATTTTTAGCTAAAGAAAAACACAACGCCCGAATGTCCCCGTTCACAGATTAGGTAAATGTGTAACTTATCTTATCCCTTCTTTTGCCTAAAAGTAAAGGAAAGATTGGAGGCAAAGAAATTTATTAACCTCAGGATCAACAAACGTTAAATTCTTTGTCAACGATCAGTAAGCAGGGCGGCTTCGAATTACAGTGAAATTGTTCTCTAGAGTTAAAACTGATCTCAGATTCACTTACTTATCTCAAAGGTTGATTGCTAACTTTTGAAATAGTGTATTTCGTCTATCTCACCAGTATGACGTTGGGTTTTTGTCACCAGACTAAAGAGAGATGGAATGCTGCCTCCTGTCCTTTTTATATATAATGAGATAAGCCTTTGTTAAGGAGCCCTATTCCCCTGGTCACTAGACTAAAAGGTTATTGGCTTGTTCTCAAGGATAACCTGTTCTTCTCCGAAGTTCTGAAAGTCAATTTCTATACGTTTGGCGATTCTTTAAGTGGCTAGGTGGTTTATTGAACGTATGCTCTTCAGAAACCAGATAGGTTAATTACCAAATGTCCACATATTTATATTTCTTAGAAAGCCTTCATATCGAGGAAAAATCTACGTATTTTTTTTATTCTTTTATATTTTTTGCCATCAATGTTCGTTATTAAATGTTTCATCAAGAGGCTCTGGCTTGGCGAAAAAGCTTGAAAACAGACTAAATAGGATTCAGGGGAAACGTTTCCGAATATGTGAGGTCATGACCTTGTATTGTGACAGAGCAGGTAAAAACTTCTCCTTCATAGGCGGAAAATTTAACCTTGTATCTTGAGCTATTCCTAAAGTTTGATTAACAGGAAATACGCAATTCCGAAATAAATGCATTTGGATATCTTTAAGGACCATTCTTGTTGAGCTCTCTTTCAGAGAAAATTTATCTGACCATACCTAGATTCACAAAAAGCAACAAATATTTGTCTTTTAAAAATTTAGGATGCATACAAACAAGCAAATATTGAGGAGAAGTAAATCGAAATATATTTATAGCATAGCATGGGAACGAATAACTCAGAAAATAATATTCTGATGGCACGTTGAAGAGGCTCGCGTGGCATCATGGACGATTTGGATTATTTAAGCGTTTCGCGGGGAAATTAAGTCATTTCAGGTCTGTCAGTCTTATGTTTGACCACTTTTTTTTTGTACTTGTTATAATTTTGGTATTCCAGCTCCCTGTAAAATATGATTAAGATCATGCGATTTGTGATTAGTAGTGCAACCAGGTTAGTTTACCCTTTCCTCGAAGTATTGTGCTGCTGTATTAGATGACAAATACGTTTCCACACTTTTTTATGCCCCATCTAAAGAGTGGTATTTTAGCAGTTTTTTGTATCTGGCGTACGCTAGTCTCAGGGTGCACATGTTAAGATTGTATCAGGATGCGTATACAAGAAGACTGCCTGACTCATCCCAAAAAAAGTTTTTCACATTGAATGTCTCCGGTGAGTATAGTCAGAATCTGCCCTTTTCTTCTCGTCATGGATATATATGGAAAAATCCCATCCCTCGGGAGATAATTCTGAAATAATTCCTGTGAGTTAACACGTTTTGAGCAAGGTTTTTTTGAAAATTATAACAAAAGTGGTGATCGGTGAGTATCGATGATGATGATAACAATGATTGTAAAATTTAAGAGAAGAATAATTCTTGTTACCCAGGATTCATTCACGTCGGAAGTATAGGTACTCTGAATTGATTTGAATTTTTCCCGTTTGCCACATTGACCTACCAAGATAACCAAATGTCTTTTCACAATAATAGGTTAGCCTCTTCAGAATTCTTTCTACAAAATTTGAATCTATTATTGCAATAACATAAGTTATTATTTTTTTTCACTTAATTTACTCCACTCATCGTGCTTTTATGAGTTTGAGATGGCGAGGTGCCGCCATCTTTGAAATACGAAAATGATCATTGAGATTAACCTACTCGCCGCGAGTCAAAATTTGCCGCGCATCGGATTGAAAATCTGGGGTCAACAATTTCAAGTCTTGCCACACAGCTGTGTATTACTCCCCTCGCTTCTCTGACTGTCTACGATTAATATAGATTACAAGCATCATATGACCCGGCCCGCGCGCGCAACCCTGTAGAAAATCGGGAAGATTTTACTCGTTCTCTTTTATATCCCACAAAGGAATAGTGCTTTTTCGGATGTTTTTTCGATGTGGAGCTGATATGATTTAGGTTAAATTTAAGTTTTCTCTGAACTTTGTAAAAAGTCTTTACAAACTCCCTTAATTCAAGAATGTTTTATTTAAATTTAAATTATATTTACTAATTTATAGTCTGTCAGAGTAGTCCACTGAATATCCCGATTTCTCTAATTCCCAGTTAAGCAGTAAACGTTTACTCGTCAGTTACATAATAGAAACCATTATCTTTTAAAATTTGATATTACTGTCGTTTGTCTCAAGGTGCTAGAGATTAAATCCGTATTTTGTCTTTTTTTTATCCTTGCTTCTTAAAGAGACGGAGCATACCAATTAACCCGAGTTTCACCTATTTGGTCTCCCTGTGAGAGTTCTGCAGGTAGGTGAACCTTATTGATATACTTCAGGTTCCATGTTATCGTACACGAGGTTAGATTGAGGGCTGACTGTTTCGTGTATTCTTAACTGTACATAGAGTTTCCATAAAAACTGAAGGACTTTAAGGAAAATAGGTAAGCAAAACCAGCCGGGGACGAGTGTTTCAGGTATGATCCATTTCAAACTCTGCCCTATGATTTGTAAAGCTTTTAAAATTTGTTTCAGATATCAGAGGCAACACAAGTACCAAAGCCTTTGCTTCTTCTACATATTAAATAGGTGAATTCTTCTGTTAGCGGTACAAGTAACGGAATGTTTGTCTCAGCACAGATATATATATATGAAGAGTTCGGATAAAAGGAAATTGGCGAGTTTTCGTCCGAAATCAAACTACGAGTCTCTTCACAAGCACTGCAATGAAAAGAAACTTTAATTCCTGTTGCTACAGTTGTAAACAAACTTTTTCTTCCGCAAAAGGATTGTTTTTTTATCGTTGGGTATTTACTGAAAAATATATTAAATTTTGGTCAAATTCAAAGTTCTGCGGTTTTCCTCTAAAACCTAATTAACACATTCTTAAGCGCGCGACTTGAAAGATAAAAAAAAAATGGAACTGAGCGGTTTTAATTATAACAGCAGTTACATTTAATCATCTTGTTGGACAAAGTCAACGTTACTTGTCATGAAGTTGACAAGCGAACTCATATGACTCCGTTCTTCCACAAACAGAGTTATTTTCAAGGTTATATCATTACAAAAAATTTTCAGTGTTTAAAAATTGCCATTTAGATGTGAAACACTTTAACAGGGTCACTTGTTTTTACAGGTAAAATTCCGATGAGACCAACCAAAAATATCCAATATGTATTATACAGGTTCAAACTGCAAAAGCTTAGCATTGGGAGATAATTTTAGATCTGATCTTGATAAGAACTTTCTTTCTATATCCTTAACCCTTTGTCTCCCAAGATCTCATTAGTAATTCTCCTTACTGACTACCGTACAATTCTTATGATTTTAGTTCAGAGAATTTGTTACTGGATCAACTGATAATCCCCTAATTGATATTTCTCGTTATTCGTATCACTTGTCTGCTTGAAATTACATGGATATTGTGGGCAGAAATTCTGTCTTGCTCATTCATGGGAGTTAAAGGGTTAAACTAAATTGAGTTAAGTGCGCATGTGTGCATAATTCTGCTATGAACTATGAACATTTTGCGGGTTTCAATTTTTCGTGTCGCACTCGTTCCGCAATAATAAATTCTCGCGAAAACAAAGTCTCGCTTAGAAAACCCCTTCAGAAGTTTACCACTATATAAGTTGAAGGGAAATCTTGGTAATCTTCATGATCGCATTCTGTCGAAATATCCATAAACAAATCGTCTACTGCGTTGCTGCCCTCTGCTTATCTGGAAAAGTCAAAAGTTTGAAACCGTAACTTTTTCATTTTAATACTCTGCTGCTTGAGCAGAAAATTGCAAAAATTTGTTTTTAGGGAAAACTTCTGTCGACTTGAACCGCAAAGAATCTGTCCCTACCACATAAAAAACATGAAGACGTTAGTAATGGAACAATATTGATTCCTCACAGCAGACTCAATGTGTTTTCTTTCTGTCCTCGTATTTCCAGGGAAAGGTAACGCTATGAAGCTGCTGTTGATTTCAGTATTACTGAGCTTTATTTCCAATATATTCACAGGTAAAGTTTTAACGCTTTCACTCCGAAGATCTCATTTGTAAATCTCCTTACTTTCTGCCACACAACTTTTACGTTGTTGGTTTGGAGAACTTGGTATTGAATGAACTTATAATACCCTGAGACTTATGCCCTTTGATACTTTCTTTGTTCTGTGCTATTGACACAAGTTGAGTTTCGAAATCTTTTTGCTTTTGAAAGAATCACCAACTGATCCAGAAGTTGCAGGAAATGCTCCAATCGTGCTCCCTACTGGAAGTAAGTTGAAATAAAGTATTTGCAGCAGTGATATAGAGACACTAGCAACCGTAAACAACATATTTGAGATGTCTGCTGTATATGTAAAGAAATATCTGTCTTTTATCGTTGAGTTCTTACTGACTGATTGACTGACTGCCTTGCTGTCAGACTTAGGGGCTGACCTATTGACCAGCGACTGACTGACTGTCTCGCTGTCACACAGACAGACAGACAGACTGACTGCCCTACTGTCAGACTGTCTCGCTATAAGACTTACGGACTGACTTAGTGACCGGCTATAGATTAATTATAAAAGTCTCACTGTCAGACCGGACAGACTGATCGACGACTGACTGACCGACTGACTGTCTGTCTTTCTATAAAATTGGTTAATTGACTGTCTGATTGCCGGAACTGGTTTTTCAATTTTTTCCAATTCTTCCTAAATTCTCCGCTTAACGTTTTGATGTAGTCGAGGGCTGACAGACCTTCCTCCAACAGCATTCTCTCAACAAGAAGTAAACGGCCTGAAAGAACACAATCGGTTCCGTGCGATACATGATGCGCCGCCCATGACACTTGATCGTGAAATGTGCAATTCCGCTGCCCAGTGGGCCAAATACATCGCAGAACAAGGCTCTCTTGAACATTCAACTGAAGATCAAAGACCTGAACAAGGAGAGAACCTGTCTATGGGATGTTCCTCAGACAAGGCTCAAACAGTAAAGGAGGCTGTTGCAAACTGGTAATTTGAGTACAGTTCATAGAATGTCTGCTTAAAAAAACCGGTCTATATCGCAGTGGTATATCTAAGGACAGGTGCGACTACGCTTATTACACCAAAACCTGGACCACGGCCGAGATTGTTTTTAAAAGACCCTCTCCTCATTATTTACTAGTAATTATTGTTTGACAAGGGCAAACACGATGATGAGGCCGAGCGAAAACCAAAATTGAATGGCAAAATCTAAGGTGGGATTTCAGTTTTCATTCATCTTAATTGTAGGTATAACGAGCTTTGTAACCCCGGCTACTATGGACTAGGTGAGTTAGAGACTGGGCCTGATGAAGCAGGGCACTTCTCGCAGGTGGTGTGGAAAGAGAGTACCAAGCTTGGAATCGGACGTGCAGAGATTGAACAAAATGGTATGAAATGTGCTTACATCGTTGGCAGATACAATCCGCCCGGAAATGTTCAAGAATCCTATAAACAGAATGTTCTCAAAGGGTCTTTTAACCGAGAAGTCTACTGCCCAACAGCTGTGAAAAAAGATGTGATGAGAGCGGATTAACTCGATCAGAGAGTGGCTTACTACTATCAAGAGAAAATAGCGGAGTCCAATTAATTTCCATTACTGCCACTTATAATCATTCGATTGTGCGATAATAAAACGACCAGTTAAGCTTCGAAATCACACCTGCTCCCAAATTGAATGGAACGATGGCGAAGAAAATCACAATCTACCTGTGAAAAAATTCCTGACCTTGTCAAGGCCCCCTAACGGACTTGTGGTTACTTGATGACAAATGATAGTAGTTTGAGAGCGCAGCAAATCCAAACCCGAGGAAACTTCTTTTATATATTTGGTAATAAAAATGACTTGTGATTTATTTATAATGGTAGTTGAACTGAGTGGAGTACAATTTGGGCTGGAATTATACGCGTGATTTCAAAGTCGAACGAGCGCGCAGCGCAAGTTCGATTTGAAATCACAAATATGATTCCATATCAAAATTGCACGACACGAGGTTCAATTACCACTTTATTACATCCATTTTGAAATTGCCCAAATACAGGACTTGGTCAGTTCAAACATTTTACTGATGCAGTACTGAGCCGGTCTGAAATTAAATTCATGTCCATCTTCTTTTTTTTTTTTTTTTTTTTTTTGGGGGGGGGGGGGGGGAAAGTAAGAGTTAAGAAACAGAAGTTGCAAAATTTGCCACATGATACTCTTTGTTTTTCATTTTCCTGCAATTTGAACGGTTACTTTAAACAAACCTTAAAATCTGATTGGTTGTTTTGTTTTTAGCGTAGCTTCCTCATTGGGGAGGAAAAAGATGCGATTTAAAGCAAAAAATGGTACGATTCGTGAATAAATGGCATCAATTAGAGCCAATTAGATTACAGGGACCATCAGTGATTTCAAAATGGGTGTAATAAATTCATTAATTTATTAACTGTTTATGTGCAATTTAGAATAATTTCTGATCTTTGTCTTTCCGCTACTTTCTTTAGTACGGCTAGTAAAGACTCTTACTCTATGTTATTTCTTGCAATGAAGAATTACGTTTGAGACATCATTTAGGTTTTATGTTTTAGTAATTCTTTCCGGTTAGATGTGATAACCCTATGATTAAATGCATTTTTCATTCCCATTTTCCCTATTTCTGCGTTTCACACTGTTTTGACCAGGGGAATAAGCGCGTTTTTGCTGGAAAACAGTTATTTTTTAGCACAAAATTGCAGGCACAGTTGAGTGATCGCAGTATTCCTCATAATTCCTTATGTTGCGTTACTCTGTTTCATTCATGTCCGTTGGGCCCAAACCGCAGAAAAATCCAGTTGACACGTAGTAATCCACGCAGTCACTTTTAAGGCCATATCTAAACATAAATATTAAAAGTTACCACATCTTGACACAAAACCTCCTGCACAACTACAGCGAAAAAGGTAAATCATCAGTCGGTGAGAGTCGGTGAGGGGTTCCGGAAAACGGAAACAAAGACCAACACGTGGATTGTAATTAATGCGTTGCTGATACGATAATTATAATAAAACAAAGATAATGCCTAATCCAAGACACTGCAAACGAAGATGGGACAAACAAAAACTAATTCAGTGTGCATAATATAAAACTTTGGAATTAAAAGAACTAATCAAGCCAAGTGGCCTGTGTAGATGAAATTAAAAACAAAATCGTTGCGTGACTGGAGGCCAAAGAACACGAAACCCTCAAGCATGAGTCGCGATCTCGTGACCAAAATTGCGTCATTTTACTGACTTGAAAGGGAAACGACGAGGTTCGTAACTCGCGTCTCTACCGAAATGCTTTTGAAATTTCTGCTTGCAGGCGTTTTTATCAACTCTGTAACTGCAAATCTTTTGCCGATCTCCGTGAACCCAGCCAGACAACAGCTCGTGGATAGTTTGGGTCGCGAGGTCTTCTTTCACGGCACAAACGTTGTCGTGAAGTCATTCCCGTGGCATCCTGAAATCGAAGGCTTCAGCGATGGAACGTTCTCCGAACAAGACATGGAACTTCTGCAATCGCTTGGCCTGAATGTTGTTCGCCTTGGCTTCATGTGGCCAGGACTAGAGCCAACGAGAGGGATATACAATGAAACCTATATGCGAGTTATGCAGCGAATTGTTTCGCTTTCCGCAAAATACGGCATTTACGTCCTATTAGACATGCATCAGGATGCATTCTCCAGAATGCTGTGCGTGGAAGGCTTACCGACCTGGGCAGTGAATACAGGGTACGCCAAAGGATTCCCTGAACCGCTTCATGAGCCTTTTGTTCCAGACCCGAAGACGGGAATGCCGTCTGATAAGGATTGCGCAAAGTTTGTGTGGTCAGATTACTATTTGACCGAAGCTACCAGTGTTGCTTTCCAAAATTTGTATAACAATACCGATGGTTTGTTGGATAGCTGGGCGGCCTTCTGGGCTAAAACTGCCGCGGGGTTTAAAAGTTTCTCCAATGTTATTGGCTACGAGCTTATCAATGAGCCCTGGGCCGGGGACATCTACGCAAATCCGCTGCTTATTGTTCCAAAAGTAGCAGATAAAATGAACTTAGCTCCCGTCTACGAAGTTCTGAGTAAAGCTATCCGACAGCATGATGAAGAACACTGCATCTTCTTCGAAGGAATAACTTGGGATGACTTTGGCGTCGGTTTCGACGCCGTACCAGGCGGAGAGTTGTATCGAAACAGGAGCGTACTCAGCTATCATTACTACATCCCCCCTTCTATAGCCCTGATCGAAAATTTCGGGGCGCGGAAAAAAGATCTAGAGAGGTTAAAATGCGGAGGAATGATGACGGAGTTTCTGACCAGTGCAGGAGAGATTGAGCCTATGTTTAAAACCATGGACGCTGCTGATATGTACCTTCAGTCGTGGATTGGGTGGGACTATAAAGCGTACCACCCCTCCCGTCCTAACTTGAAAGGAAACAGGCGCTCTGCTTTGTGGAATGGGACAGGACTCGATCAAATTTATGTTCAAAACACAACTCGTACTTATCCCCAGGCCGTCGCAGGATATACTGTTAAATTCAGATTTGATTTGACCTCGAAAGAATTTGTTTTAGTTTATGAAGTATCTGAAACGTGTCACGCAACCGAATCTGTCGTATATTTGAACGAAGAGGTTCACTACCCATCCGGTTATGCTGTGACTGTCACGCCATCCTCCGTAAAATGGTCCTCCGCGACAAAAAACATGCTCACTTTTAATCATCCTACATCTTTGCCGGTTGGGTCTATTGTGGCGATCACAATTAACAAAAAATGAAACGGAGAAAATACAATATGAACATAACAATTATCTCATCAGTTTTCTGAGATGTTGACAATGAGACCAGTTCACAGGTGTGATTAATCAGAAAATAAAAGACTAAATTCGACTGCAAATTATTTTAGGGTTTTCGAATGACTCGTTCTTAAATTGTAAAATGCGTTTGTCTTCGAAAACCCTTCGACTCTTTACAACAGATAATTTTTCACACATTCATCCTGAAAAAAATCACTCTCGTCTGTTGCTAAAGGACAACCAAACCGATGCTTAGTCCCTCACTCAATTAATTTCATTCTCTTGTTAGTTATTGCAGCAGTGTTGGTACACACTGTAGTAGTCATAGTAATGATAGAGTGGGGGAGTCGGTGAGGTGCCTTTCTTTCCCCTCAACCTCAATTAATAAACTTGGAGATCATCCTTGGGCCTTTCTTCCCATATCAGCCCGTTCACGTACTGTAGCCATACTTTTCCTGAGAATGATCCCACATCCGAACCCTTAATGCACTTCGCACAACCGTGTGGACGCTACTTACTTCTTTCCCAAACTTTCAACATATCTTGTCTCACTAGGCCACTCGCTCCCTTTCAGTCTCCTCTTTTTTTGTCTTCTCCTTGCGCATTTTTATCTGGGCAAGGTGCTCAACATACTCTGCCACAAGCTTTTCGGGGGAAATGTATTTATCTGAAAACTTTCTAATAGCCTCACTGTCGCCACTGACTAGTTCACTTTCCTCAAACAATCGCTTAATCTGAGCTCGAGGCTGGACTCGTCCGGCTCACGGCCATCGGTGGGGGTCGCACTCCAAGAGAGATAATGGAAGTTTGGTAGCTTGCCATAGTCGGGATATGATCGCGGAGTTGGAAGTGGAGCGCTGGTAGTCTCATCCTTCTCGCAACATTTACATAGTTGGCCATTTCGCTCTTGACACGACATTCGCTTATACTCCATATATGGCTCTCCTTTCTCACAACCGAGGCTCCCAAATTGTTCTAGCTTGGAAAAATACCCATGCCCCGGAAAAGAACTCTTTTGATTGCTGGTGACTCCAATATACTCATGTTTGTAGAAAAATTGATTTTCTGGTCGGTCGACAAAAAATGCTGGAATATACCCTCGTGGCACTGGAGAGTCGTCAATCCGAAGACACACTTCCTCAGCAACAGCCCACGCAATTTTTCCATGACTTAACTGTTATGTGCGTCTAGCTCTGACGTTGAAAGAGACTTAACTTCTTCTTCAGAAAGTCCATGCAGGCGGTTATTTGAGTAACACTTCCGGTTAGTTATTTTCACTTCCTGTTATTATTGTCTTGGGGGAGGTGGGGGGAGGGTCAGGTGTTTTTGTGTAGGTATTTGTGAAAGGTCATGCATCAATCCATTCTGGGAAGTGGGAGGGCCACGACTTTTTTGCAAAAAAATTCTTAATACCTCGACCCACCCCCCCCCCTCCAATAAAAAACGTAACTTCCCTTAGCATCGCCATTCCGTCTTACGGATGGATAGCATTTCTGTCCTATGATGTGAAGAGTTCCTTGTCTAAATTTTACAAAGCTTGTTTGCATAGCCCTGTTGACAAAATTTCAGCAATCAGACAAAATCTCTAAGCAAGAGATATCCACTGTGCTTATGAGATCATCTTCCTAACTTCTGACGGTGGGCGTATCAAAGCAATTCCGTTTGCAGAAGAGGCAATCAACATCTTCTCTCAGCCGAAAAAAAGTACGATTTCATCAAACTTGCCAATCGACTCCACCTGCCATCCGTGAGGACTGTTAGAGAAATAAAGGAGAGGCTAAAGATCTACTCTTCATCCCCCAAATCAACAGATATTCTAGATAACATAAAGGCTAATGAAATTGAAAGACAGCCATCCTTTGAAAGTATGCTGTGCGCCGACGATGAACTGATATACGCTGCGAGAAAGGACATCCAAATGATTGTCTCTTTTCAAGTGGAAAAGGATGGCGTTGGGCAGAGAGGGGTAAACATGCAAGAAATCATGAAGTATGGGCATTCATGGCAAAAGATCTACAGCATGTTTCTGCATATGGGATGCATTTTCCTGTCAAATTGCGAGGGAATCAGGAAATGTTCTTTGGAAGTAGTTTAAGTGAAAGATGAGCCATGCATGTTGACATGTAGCGCTTTCCCTTGTGCGCCAGCGTAAAGACCTTGTAGAGAGGAACACCAGCGAGATCCAAATGAGTACTGGCATTACAAGCGCTATAATGGACCTCAGGGTCATGTTTCCGCCAGGACCGTGGCCTCAGTTGCACCTCTTGAATGGGGGCTGCAGAAGATTGTGCAGCAATTTGCAACCATTCAACTTAAAAGTTGTATGACACTGGACGTAGAGAATTGCCATTCCACTGTTCATATCAAACAGGTGAATATGTCCATGATGGAGTATGCTAGATCCTTTGAATTTACCATGAAAGAATCGGTCAAGAAAGCGACACAATGGGCCGCGTTTCATCATACAAGTAGGAAGTATGGTTCCCAAAACCAAAGGAGACCATACCATTCTCTAAAGTCCCTTTGATAAAGCCACTTCCCATCGTTGATATGTCTAAAGCAAATTGCGATATTATGCGGAATTGAGCTTCGGCGTATGGAGCAGCAGTGCGACAGCGGACAGTGCGCCAAGAGACGACCATGGCAAAGCATGGCAATCTCCCTGAGTTTATATGCCAATCACAGCTATTGTTAAACCAATGAATGAAAGCGGACCACCCGCTTCTTTATAAGATGAAGCACAACCAGTCGACATCATCGTTGACCACATTGATAGACAAACGATAAACTTAGCTGCTACAGTGTTAGTCACGACGATGACTAACTGTATACCTTTTTCTATGAAATAGAAAATAGATTTGAAACAAAAAAACTAGACAAAGAAAGGAATGTGGGAATGTATTCTAACCTCAGAGGACGCAAGACTGACCTAACGGAAACACTGTCGTATCACTTGGCAGCAGTAACTTCTTTGGCTCATCTTAGTGTCGCCTAATGAAGTGTAGGCGACAGCAAGGAATTTTACATGCGGAGACTTCGGTAGGAATGTCTTGTGATGTGTTTCTTGTGTTTGAAAAGTAGAAGTAACGGTGATGACGTTTTTTTTGAAAAATAAATTAGACCAGGTAAATCTTGCGATGTCGGTGTGTTGACAATATTTCTTGCGGTGATGCGGTATTTGTTCTATTTTGTTTGCGGTGTTGCGGTATTCAGAACCCCCCATGTCCCCCTCAACAAAGATTGTCAGTTTCAATGCCATAAACTGAAAACAAAAAAAACCAAAGACGAATCGTAATCCGTTTTCAAAATTCCACACTAAAACGAAAAACGAAAATAAAATTTGAGTTTCCTTCTCCTACACGGTTGAAAATCGGTTGGCACTAAGGTACACGGATTGGAGAACATAAAGTGAATTCGAATTCCGTTTCCTTCCCGGCGGGGAAAAAATGAAAAACGAAAATGGCAGTCCAATTTCGTTTTTTTACTGCAAAGAAAAACGAAAAACGAAAAACGAAAATAAAATTTGTGTTTCATTTTCCTATACAATTGAAAATCGGTTGGCACTAAGGTACACGGATTGTTTAGCCTTGGGCTTTTCTTATGCAAGTTCTTCTCTTACAATTAATAATTGCCAGGCGGATCTCAGATCCGCCTCAGCCTCATTTGCATAAATTCTTTTGGTGAGCAAAGTTCGTCATGATCTCGAAATTGGTAACTCGCTAAAATGCGTTCTTTTCATCAAAGTAAGCGGTCAGATAACAAGTGATACGCTGTGGAAGTAAGGTGAGATATTTTTATTAAGAATTCGACGTATTGTTTTATTCCTTACAACGGTCGTAAATATACCCACACAAACTCTTATAATTTCGCCATGACTATTATTGTGCAAAGTGATCATCTCACAGCTGGAGCTTGGGCCGCCAAGTGGACCTTGTCGAAAAGACGCACGGACTATAGAATACGCGATCGACCTTGTCGAAAACACGAGCTTGCAGAATCCACACACTCTAACGCACGTGGGTCCTTCGTGCGATTTCACTTGTGATTGGTCGAAATTAAACGCGTGACAGACTCCATGGCAACACAGATTAAGCACACGTGGGTCGCTCCTTGCGATTTCACATGTGATTGGTTGGAATTGGCCTGACCACTCCCTTCGGCATCACGGATTACTTATTGATTAGCGATTGAAACATGATTCGCGATCTCGTGACCAAAATTGCGTCATTTTACTGACTTGAAAGGGAAACGACGAGGTTCGTAACTCGCTTCTCTACCGAAATGCTTTTGAAACTTCTGCTTGCAGGCGTTTTTGTCAACTCTGTGACTGCAGATCTTTTGCCGATCTCCGTCAACCCAGCCAGACAACAGCTCGTGGATAGTTTGGGTCGCGAGGTCTTCTTTCACGGCACAAACGTTGTTGTGAAGTCATTCCCGTGGCATCCTGAAACCGAAGGCTTCAGCGATGGAACGTTCTCCGAACAAGACATGGAACTTCTGCAATCGCTTGGCCTGAATGTTGTTCGCCTTGGCTTCATGTGGCCAGGACTAGAGCCAACGAGATGGATATACAATGAAACCTATATGCAAGTTATGCAGCGAATTGTTTCGCTTTCCGCAAATTACGGCATTTATGTCCTATTAGACATGCATCAGGATGCATTCTCCAGAATGCTGTGCGTGGAAGGCTTACCGACCTGGGCAGTGAATACAGGGAACGCCAAAGGATTCCCTGAACCGCTTCATGAGCCTTTTGTTCCAGACCCGAAGACAGGAATGCCGTCTGATGAGGATTGCGCAAAGTTTGCGTGGTCAGAATACTATTTGACCGAAGCTACCAGCGCTGCTTTCCAAAATTTGTATAACAATACCGACGATTTGTTGAATAGCTGGGCCGCCTTCTGGGCTGAAACTGCCTTGGGGTTTAAAAGTTTCTCCAATGTTATTGGCTACGAGCTTATCAATGAGCCCTGGGCCGGGGACATCTACGCAAATCCGCTGCTTCTTGTTCCAAAAGTAGCAGATAAAACGAACTTAGCACCCGTCTACGAAGTTCTAAGTAAAGCTATCCGACATTACGATGAAGAACACTGCATCTTCTTCGAAGGAGTAACTTGGGATGACTTTGGCGTCGGTTTCGACACCGTACCAGGCGGAGAGGTGTATCGAAACAGGAGCGTACTCAGCTATCATTACTACAGCCCCCCTTCTTTATCCCTGATCGACAACTTCAAGGCGCGGAAAAAAGATCAAGAGAGGTTAAAATGCGGAGGAATGATGACGGAGTTTTTTACCAGCGCTGGAGAGATTGAGCCTATGGTTAAAACCATGGATGCTGCTGATATGTACCTTCAGTCGTGGATTGGGTGGGAATATAAAGCGTACCACCCCTCCCGTCCTGACCTGAAAGGAAACAGGCGCTCTGCTTTGTGGAATGGGACAGGACTCAATCAAATTTATGTTCAAAACACAACTCGTACTTATCCTCAGGCCGTCGCAGGATATACTGTAAAATTCAGATTTGATTTGTCCTCGAAAGAATTTGTTTTAGTTTATGAAGTATCTGAAACGTGTCACGCAACCAAATCTGTGGTATATTTGAACGAAGAGGTTCACTACCCATCCGGTTATACCGTGGCTGTCACGCCATCCTCTGTGGAATGGTCCTCCGAGACGAAAAACATGCTCACTTTTAGTCATCCTACATCTTTGCCGGTTGGGTCTAACGTGGCGATCACAATTAACAAAAAATGAAACAGAGAAAATTCAGTATAAACATGGCAATAATCTCGTCAGTTTTCTGAGATGTTGACAATGAGACCAGTTCACAATTATGATTAAACAGAAAATAAAAGGCTAAATTCAACTACAAATTATTTTAGGGTTTTACAATGACTCGTTCTTACGTCGTAAAATGCGTTTGTGTTCGAAAAACCGTTCAACTCTTTGCCACAGACAATGTTTCACATATTCATCCTGAAAAATCATTCTCGTCTTTTGCCAAAAGACAACCAAACCGATTTGTTATCTTATAACCAGTCCCTCACTCAATTAATTTCATTCTCATGTTTGTTGCTGTAGCAGTGTTGGTACACACTGTAGTAGTCATAGCAATGATAAAGGGGCGGGGGAGGGCGGAGTAGTGGGTGAAGTACCTCTCTTTCCGCTCAACCAAGTCTGCTTGGAGATCATCCTTGTTGTAGGGCTTCACCTCGAGCCTTTCTTCTCATGTCAGCCCGTGCACGTACTGTAGCCATACTTCCCCTGAGAATGATCCCACCTCCAAACCCTTAATGTACTTCGCACAACCGTGTGGACGCTACTTGCTATTTTCCCAGTCTTTCTTATATCTCGTCACACTAGGCCCACTCCTACGTTGCATGACAAGATCAAACAACGGCTGTGAAGGATACCCGGAGCCTACTCAGCGATACTGAAGACGATGATTGCCCATGTTTTTAATGGCAGCATTTGTCATTGGGCAAGTTCCCGTTTTAAAATTTTGCATTTTATTTTGTGCTAACTACGAGAATTATCAGTTATCATTTGTAGTATTAACGAAATAGCTAGTCTTTGTGAGGCTTGTCCTCTTCTCCCTGGTCTTCGTATGACACACCAAACTCGTTGACTCTCTTCATATCGACTGGGTACAACCTGCAGACCAATATGCTTTGAATTTTACTTTCAACTAAGCTGAGTCATATGCAGGGCTGACCCTCAGCTTAAAGGGGTTTACAATATATGACTTCGGGAAGAAATACAAACGCAAAAGATGCAAAAGTAATCCAAGAGAAAGCAAGGATAAAGGAGATATTAGAGGAGTGCTTACCATCTCTGGTAGAGGTAAATAACGAAAACAACGTCGTCTCTGAAACAGGCCAGACGGTGGGCGGTTGGCATCACAATAATGAAAGCAAACACATCATCGATGAATGTGTTGAACGCCTGTAATATGTAATCAAACATAACTTTAGCTATAAACAATGTTTGCAATCAAATGAGAGACAGTGAAGAGAAGGGAAATGACAAGGGAAATGAATGAAGAAAGCAAGCAATAAAAATAAACCTGGGAGGTACTGGGTGAAACGGAAGTAGTAGGATGAAAAAAAAAAAGAGTCGACTTTTCTAAAAAAAATACGAAGACAAAGATTCTATTTCAAGGGTCCAGAGAGCGATGCCGCTAGAGATGAGCCGGAGAAATTGATAGGATAAGCTTCGAGATAACTTTTTCGACGACACTTGTTGCCGCAACTTTTAGCTTTGGATACTTTGAAGAGTTTCAGTCAGGGAAAGAAAAACACCTGAACAGGCTTGGGGCTTGGGGCATCTAGCACCTCATGAAACTGCTGGAAAGGAACGAATCATTAATTCCACTGGAGAATTCTACCATAACTGCAGAAAAAAATGCCCCAGAGAACATTAAGACTTCACAATTTATTATTCAATCGTTGTCTGCAGGCCACAACAAACAAAACGAAGTACCTTGTACATAAAAGCTCTCCAAGGTAGATGTGCCACGGACTTAAGCTGAAAGAAAAAATTATGACGATCAGTAATATTCCTGATTGGTTTTCCCCTACCAATAATTCAATTCATGGCCGGCACCTCTTGATCATGTAAGATCCCACGAAAGTCTCGCTGCCCCTATATGTTTATGACAAATTTTCAATTTTCACTTAGTCGGAAGTACCTATTGTTTTTACTTCGCTATGCTCTACGGTTGGTCTCCGAAACTTCCGCAACTTTTCCAAGCATTCAGGTGCAAACTAAGACCAACCACACTCGCTCCTACTTTGTCACAGTAAAAAGAATGCCCTTTCTTTTCCCACCTACCTTGTAGTTTACAAATAGCTGAGGCAACATGAACAAGAAACCAAACACATAGACGCCTACAAGGAAGCAAAGACAAACAAGACGCTATCAACAAACATAATAAAAAATACCCTTGTTAGAAGTTGTTGTGAGCTTTTTAGGGAACCCCAGGTCAAATGGAGTTTAACACGTCTCCCAAAACAACTCAGACTACCGAGACGTAGTCACTAAATGAGACTTAACCCTTAAACTACAAGAAGTGATTGGCGTTTAACTTCTCCCTTGGCAATGCTCAAATTAATCGTGTAAGAGTTGTTATCTTAATCTAACACCAAATTCTCCACACTTATTTATAAGGAAGGGTTTAGCAGCTAGAGGGGAGAATCAAATATCATATTCTGGCTATACTAACCATTGACAAGACTGCGCACAATCCAGGAATACCAACTACATGGAGAAATAAGCAAAGTCAAATCATTTAAACCTTTAACTCACGGGAGTGACTAGCATCTAATTTCTCCTCACAATATCACCCCTGAATCAAACATTTAGGTCACAAGAATTAAGGAAACGATCAAAGAAAGAAGCTCTCGATTATTACACAAATTCTCACTGTTAGCACCTTACGAAATGTACAGAGAACAGTACGGAGAATATGCATAATGATGTTAGGGTGTAAAGCGTTAATACGTAAAATTAGACAAGTCCAATACACATTTACTGTTTTCAAAGATCGGCGAGGTCTCCACAAAAATTAAACTTGATTCATTCACCCCTGGCATTTAACAATCCACTTCCCTTTTTTCACTCTACCTTTTTTGTGGTTGGTACAGAAGTGAATATACAGCTACAGCTATCACCAGAGGGTATAGTGCATAAGAAATGTAACGCATGGCCTGAAAAACAAAGCAAAACAAAACAAGAGAAAATAATGAAACAATGCAGAATTCTGTGAAACTCCTAGTATCACATACTGTGTCTATAGCGTTCTAGTTGGTCCATCGAATCTCAATCATCAGCTCACATCTCACAGCTTGACCTAAAATATAAACTAACAATATTTAACATTATTTCTGTGGATGTACAAAGGTAAGATCACGCTCTTGGTCCCTATACGACTTCCGGAGCTTATCCCGCTTTCTACAGCATGACACGAGAAGACGTGTTCATTTTACTTCTTCTGGATGGGATTCTAATCACTGTCGTCCTTGGGAAGTCACGCAAAGTCCCCTCGGTGGATTGGGGAGAGCGACGCGTGACAGCCAAGAGTACAGCTGCGAAGACAACTAGTGGATCGCTAGGTTATATCAACACTTATTTGGAAATTGGAAAACTACATGTAAGTGCGTGTAGACAATTCTTCATACCTGTACTTCACTGTATGATATTCATCGTTCTGCCTTACCTCGCTGTCAAACTCCTCAGTTTCTTTCTCTTTAGAAGTCCGTTGTCCAAACTTCGAAAGAAAAGAAAAGGTCGCAATGAGAACTAACTCTATCTGCCGAAATTAAGTTTTACTAAGGAAAGAACGTTAACTGGCGTTATTTCTTTAATTTACATTCACGTTGTATAAATCATATTATCAAATCTCTAAATTATTACAAGTGCTTTGATTGGTCCACTTAGCGGGCCGTGCATTACTGTGTGTGTGCCCGATAAAATTTCAGGTCTTTTTCAGTTGCCAAAATCTCTTGTTATTTTTACCAATTAGTGTCCACTTTAGTGGGCGGATGAAAGGGAAGAGAGTGGGCAAAGAGTCAGTCTTCATTTATTCACCTGTACAGAAGGTCTTGCACCTTTCTCCCATTTGATGTTGACTTTGAATGCTTTGGTAACCTTCCAAACCTTCATGAAAAGAAGATAAGGAAGCGAAACCAGTTAGTATCTAAAAGGAAAAAACTTCGTAGCTTATGCTCATTAGATCTTGACGCTAGAGGGAAACTTAATTTATACCCGCACTCTAGGCTCGATAACAAGCCGCTGTCTTCAAGTTGCGAATTTACCTTTAAAGGTTGAAAGAAGGTACATTAAGTAATCGAAGACAAAATAACTTGAGAAGATTTGTATTTCAACGGGGATTGAACCGAACATGCCAAGTATAGGTCTAGGGGGCACTGCTACCAACACCGCTATGAAGCCACTTGTTGGAAACAAGGAAAATTTTTTTGAGTTGTTTGTCTTCCCTAAAGGAATGAGATCACAGCTAGTAAACATTAAAATATCGTTATGTCACATTATGTTATGCATATTTTTCTGTCAGCTAACTGCAAGTAGTTGTGTAATTAATCATTTAATCAAAAACGTATAAAAATTTGAATTCAGACTGATGAAAGAGCTCGGTGAAAGAGAAATTAGGGATTCAAAATGCTATGAGTTCAAGACACGAGTTTATTAGGCAACTCGTGTAATAAAAATGGCTTAGGTTCCAACTAGCCTGCGGAACGTGAGTGCTCTCTTTGGTGTTTTTAAGTAAAGGGAGGCAAACACTAGGCGCACGCGCTTTACACGCGTGCCTTTCACGCTTGCCTCGGATTTGCCTCATGATAAATCAAATACTTACTTCAATGAGTACACCGATCCCGGCTGGGATAAGAACAAGTAGACTTGTTTGCTCGTCCATCAGGTACAAGAAGATTATAAATGTGCTCACACATCGCCAAATGACTGGAAAGGGATAGAAACCATCAACATCGTAATAACACAGCATTTGCAAAAAACTTTTATCACTTTACTTTATTAAAATACTTTGAGGCTACTGTGAAGACAGAGCTATAGACAACGATCTTGTTTGGCACTAACACCTATCAGGTGCTACTTCCCGAGTATGCATGTGGAAATAATACAGCCATTAACTATTCATTGGTTGTTTTATCTAGACAAATGTGTCAAATAAGCGACAATGGCACAAATTGCCCAATTTTCTGTCTACAAGTACTATGCTAAGCAAAACTTTCCTCGCCCAAGCTTGTCAAGAATAGATGATTCCTTACCGGTTCTCATTGATAAGCCAACCATGCTGTCCCTGTGTTTCCAGTAATTTATATCATTCTTAAAGGCTAAAAAGTCAAACAGAAGCTACAAAAGAAAATAACAACATTTCACACTGCTGTCTCACAAATGAACACGATTATTCATGGTTGTTTTCTGTACACATTCCATAAAATTCCGAGCACAGAACGGTACACTGAATCCTTTCCATTGAAAGATTTGATTCATTATTATAAAATTTTAGTGTAGTCATAACTTTTGTGCAAGGTCTGTTCATGGCTCTCTCTCTCATTGAAATTTTTAGCAATTAAACTGATTGAGACACCACATGGCAATCCTTTAGGTTAAGGTTCTGCAACTGTGCTTACAAAAGTAAACATTTGCTCATAACCTTTTAACTCCCGTGAGTGACCAAGACAGAATTTCTCTTTACTATATCAATACAATATCATGCAGACAAGTGATAAGAATAAACTTAGATTACTAATAGATCCAATACCAAATTCTCCAAATTAACATAATGAGAATTATTTGGCAGTCAGTAAGGAGAATTTCTAATGAGATAATGGGAGTTAAAGGGATCATGTAAAACTTACATGGAGAACTGTTATTCCAAAGGTAAGAGCCAGAAGAAAGAGATTTGTGTCTGTGAAAATTCCTCTGACATCATCCAAATCCTTGTCAGTAAATCCTTAAATTAACCAGAAACATAAGGTTTTTTTGCACCAACTGAACAATGCTGTCAGTACTTAAAATAATTATATACAATTTTATTACATACATCTTCCCTCTTCAACAAGAAGTGTTGTCTGCAGCAATCTGTCTTGTCTGACAAAATCTTTTTTCTCATAACAAGTCAATCAAAGTATTTCTCACAAGAGTTGTATTTCCATTAAAAATTTGTAAGTCACTGATACATCTGTAGCAGCCAAAAGAAAGTTTTGGAGAATGATCATCCATATTGCACCTGTAATTTTATTCATACCTAAATCCTTCATTGATTTTAATGAATGGTGAACTGATGACCATATACGAAGCTTGCCAAGAGAAATAGGTGCGTAGTTTATCTTTAGCTGCATCTCACTGCTGCTTTTGTTCACAGGCTGTGGGGAAATTAACAGAAATACAAGTCATGCAGCTCAACTTCACAATCTGTGAAAAAGAAATTTCATGTTTAAGCCTATATTCCATTACATTAGTTTGTGTATTCTCTACAGTTACTCTTCTTTATACATTTCCTATGGTACTGTCTAGAAGAATTTGTCCAATAATTAAGAGCTTCCTAATGTGGTTACCATCTCCTACACTCTCATAACTTTAGTGTTTGCTTCGGCAATAATAATGTATGGAGAAATTATATGCTAATCACTCTTGGGGGTTAAAGGGTTGGTTGTAAATGAGGTGGAAGATTTACTCTGACTTGCTTGGGACACATGCACAATAACCAGGATTTATCCTGATTTCTGTACTATGCATGAAGCAAATTGGATCAATGCTACTCCTTTCTTGGTCTATTTCCAGTCATCCCCAGTGTTCTCTAGATAATTTTTAACAGTCAGCCATATTGGAACAGTGGCCAGTGGTAAACAAGTGAGCACCCAAATGACATAAGCATTTATTCTGACTAACAACGTACCTTAAGATATCTATAAATCACACCAAGCTGGTCTATGTATAGCACAGGAAGGTATTCTTTGTTAGGAGCTAATCTATCAGCAAGAACAACAAAAATGAACATGAGCATTTTGGGGTAGTTTAAGAAGATTTTAATCGACATCACTGATCTGCCATATAGTATACCTGTTTGACCAATTTTTTTTTCTTTTACCACATGTCTTTTCTTCTACTAAATGTCACAGTCTATCAGAAGGACTCCATTTATAACTAAACATAGAGGTACACTTGTGATATACACATTCAAGAATTTTCTTATCTACATTGGAGGAATGTCAATCATACCTGATGAAAGGGTAGATCTCACTGGGAATGGCTTGTCTCTCAAATTCAACTTTTTCATTCAGAACATGAAAATTCAGGATGGGCTTCCAGTGGGTTACTGGAATCTCATTCGAAGTAACACTAGACTTCTGCATAATAACAAAAGTGCTATTGAATTCATCGCATAAAAACAAAATGAGTATGGTCACTTATATAGTTAGCATCAAGAAGAAGATACAAAACAAACAAAATAACATAATAAATTCTTATATTTTTCAAATGAACATTTTTTACATGCCAAACAAATTCATTTATCAGACAGAAAGAAGTTTGTTGTGCTTAGAATGTGATAACCAAAGAGAGATCAGATGTGTAAAAACTTTAACATTAAAGATAAAAAATAAATGTGTATAGGCTTTTCACAAAATGGAACACAACAAGAAGACAAACAACCAAACTAATCAGCCAGGTCCAAGAAAACAGTTGATAATTACAGATTGATATATCCATCAATATATTTGAGTCTAACATTACCAGAAGTGGAGTAACTAATTTAATCACTGAGTTAACAACTGGTGGCAAATAACAGAGTAACTTGATTCACCTTTGGTTTTTCCGTTGAGAGAAGGTTAATAGATTCATCTCGAGGCAGCGAATACATTGTCAGAGGAGCTGAGGCATGTGATACATATTCACTCTCAAAAGGGGAAACTCCAGCTTGATAAACATATATGTGAGCATAAAGTGATCCATTGTTTCTTGTTTCATTTGGTATATTTGCATTTATTGATCTGCAAGTACAAGAATTCTAAATTGAATTTACAATGTATGAAGATAATGACCAGACATAAGCTACAAAGTCTTTTGTCCACAATAGGGAATTCTTCAAAATTTTAATTTTAAGTGATAGGCTGACCATTTCAACAACCTGGGCATAACTGATCAAAAAGGGTCAAGTGATGTTGAATTATTACAGTAAGTGAAAACTTGTTGGTCAGTGTAATTGTCATGTCATGTCAAGTCATTATGCAGTGCAACCCCTTAGATTTCAAATCCCATGGAGAACAATTGTTTGGATCCGTGCTCAGAGATCACAAGAATCCATCAGTAACTATTTTTTGCTTCCATGAAAATTAATAAGAAACTACTTTTTATATATATTTTGCTTTCAAAAACAGGATGTTCTATTGTTGTCAATGTGAAATGGAACTTGTATATTGTATACTTTTATAACAAAAATAGTCAATGTCATTTGAAGTATCAATGCACTGAAAGCCATAGAGATTACTGAACACATGGGCCATCCCCTCTGGTAAAATGCAATCCACCATGGGAACATGATGACAGAAAAGGGAAGATAAACAACTGATCTTGCATACAAGTAAAATTAATGTAGAACAAAGGAATTGCTCTACTGCTAAAAATATTAACGGAGTAAAAATGGGACATTTGAATTTTAATCCATAAGGCTGAATATGTCAGTGGAAAACTACTTTTCCATACTTACTATTTTGAGAACATGGTAACGACACATCACCAGAATTAATTGTTACCGTGAAATTCTAGGGTTTGCAGTGATTAAAGTTTGATCTGTCCTGAATGGCAAATATTTAACTTACTCTGTGAACTGATTTGACACACTAAAACTATCACTTTTCCAAAGTAAATTGGAATTTCTCTTGTTGATGTTCTGTATTTTTTCTTCAAGTGATGTATAAATTGATATCTGCAAGTATAAACATCAAAAGTTAACATAAATTCAACAAGTTGAAAGAGGCCTGAAATGTAAATGATTACAAGGAATGATTTTCTCACCAATCTATAAATTTCCTCTAATACTGGGCAAAATAATTTTTTTCTGAACGTTGCCAGAGTTTTTACAGTGACCTTTATAATTCTAGTCATTTTAAATTTTTTGTTATGAAACAGAGTACAATTAAATTTTAAAACCCCAACTGGCTTCTTTTCAAATTTCTTCATCCTGAACATTCATACTGAGAAATATTTTCAAAATATACAGATTTACTTCTAAAAGCAGAAAATTCTCCAACTGCTGTGTACTCCTGACCTACAAGATGAACGTCTTCTACCTCCCTACTCCCTCCTCCCCCCCTTTCTTTGGGATCGTTTAATGAAAAAGCTTTTTGATATCGAAGAGAAAGTGAAAGGGGCTTTATCCCACAAAAATTAAAGTAATAAGAAATAAAACTTCAAATATCAATTTTTGGATTAATTATACCGTGGAACAAAATGTTCTCCCTACAAAATGCCACTTAGCTAACTTACCTCTAACTTTTTGTTTATAATACCATGAGGTTTAAGGCATTGCCTTGTGCCTCCCTGGCACGTCGGCACGTGAAAAAGGTTATAAATAACATAAACACTGTTAACTATATATAATCCGAAAAGAATTAGAACTACTGTGGTGACAAAACTCATTGCGAATGTAAAAACAACGCCAGTTCATCAATCACAAGGCCATCCAAAGTCCACCATTTCTCCGGGTCATTGAAAAATACGTCATGTACAGCAGAACAAAGTGTTTACATCCTTCATGTAAGTAGACTTTAAATGTCGTTGTCCTTGAGTGGATTGAGCTCCTTCTTCGTTGGAAGTTGCTTCCAAGTCCAGACTTGATTTAAATGATGAATGCAACTTCTGTAAAATTTTCCGTGATTTTTTAAAATTATTTTATCTAATCATAACTGCATTGATGACGTCTACCTGACAATAGTTTGTCAAACATCTGGCAGTGAGCCAAAAAAACGCCATAAACGATACATATGTCCTTCTTACCTTTGTAAAACACAAATGGTTAAGTAACCCTTAAATAATAATTTCCAGGGGAACTTTTCAAAATACGCACAGGAAAGGTATGACGAGGTGACCTTCAAGAAGTTGTAATCCCAGATTTCCTTGCGGTCCTAGATGACGCAACGAGTCGCGCGAAGCGAAAAAAACAACATGGCGGCTGGCAGTAGTCCTTCTTCTTCGTCTTCAAATTCAGACACAAGTCAACAAGTTGACCGAATAGCTCTCTTATATCCTAAAGTTAATGAATCAGAGACCCCTCTACCTCGATCATGGTCTCCTAAAGACAAATTCACTTTTATAGGGCTTTCACAGAATAATCTTAGGGTGCATTACAAAGGTTAGTGAGATTTTATGTATTTTTGTTTTCTTTCTTTCACGGGCTCTGAATTCCATCCTTTTGGAAGCTAATTCGAAAGGAGGTACTGTTTTGGTTTTATCATTGTGTGTACTGTCTTTTTCTGACCTAATAAAACGGTTCAGAGACGAAATGCCGCATCGATTACCTTTGAAACGACAGAAGTGGTTGTCTTGTGCTATTTGAAATTCATCTTTATTGTTTGCGCTTTATCATCAAAATTGAAATTTTCCCTGTCGGCGGTTTGAGTTTTTAAATGCAAATTATTTTCGATGGATTACGCCCAGCAGTAGAAACATTTGCTGCTGTAAATTTCAAATTGAAATTTTGTTATCAATGAATAAAATTTGAAGACGGATGCTTATAAGCGCAGATTATTTTTACTTGTAAGCTTAAACTTATATTGTTTACTCAATGATGGAAAGGACTTTGCTTGGACTGAGCGAACGATAACGCTTACTGTTGATGTGCATGTCTTTTCAGGTGTTGGAAAGACACACAAAGACGCGGCCTCGGTTAGGGCTACGCATTCGATTCCAGCGGCCTGCGGTATTTATTATTTTGAAGTCAGGATTGTTAGCAAAGGACGCGATGGGTAAGGAATAATCCCGCCTAACTAAATCATCATTGTAATAACATAGCATTTGTATCAGTTGTTTTCAAGTTATTTTTCCGGATAATGTTTTTTTGTGTCACAATTAGAACATATGCACAAGGTTTAATTGCATTTCAGGAAGATACAAGGCGAATGCACGATAGTAAATGAAGGTTTGGTGGTTTTTTCAAGAAGTTTCATTTTTATTTCGGCAGTAGCGTGAATTTTTAGTCATTTTAAAGGTTTTCGTCCCACTAAAAATAAAAATTAAAAGTTCCACAGTAGTTCTTAACAAGATTATAGTACAATTCTATATTTGCATATCCAGACTGAACACAGTGTTTTCACTTGCTCAGAAAGGCAGTGTTTAGAATGTGGTGAGAGATTGTAACTGTTGTGTTTAAAATTATTTAAGGGCAAATTGATTTCAAAGTGGTCTGATTCTGTACTTTCTATTTTTAAGGCTAGTATGATAATATACCTGGAATTTAAGGGAAAAAATAATGCAGCCCTATTTTAAATAATTTCAAAGTACAGAATACATGTAGCCATATTTGATCAACACCTGTAAAGTGAAACCACATGTATATTTTTGGTACATATGTATTTTGAAATCCCACCAGTTTGATTGAAAGCTAATATGATAGAGATTGTTTTTTTTCTCTCGATTCATTGCACACCCATTGTAATAAGAGAATTAAATATTTTCTTTGGTTGTAAGTGACATTTTCAAAAATTACTTAAAATCTTCCATTATCTGAAATCTTAGGGGTAGAATTTCAACAGCACCAATGAGTAATTCTATGAACCTCTACATATATATATATATATATATATAATGTCTCTGGAGTTATGAATATCCCAGTACACCTTTTTGTTGTAAGTTAAGAAACAGGGTTAATTTGTTTGAAACACTCTCTCTGGAATCTCATGCATTCATACATACATTCACTTTAGAGGGGTTTTTTAGCATCAAAAACAAAATCCAGAAAATAAATCTCCCAATTTTTTTTCCAATTTTTGCCTTTCTTTTCTTTTAAATTCATGAAAAGGAAAATGCATAAAACCTGATACGAAAGAGGTGAGTGTATGACAGAGAACATTTGATTATTGGTGTTGATTTGATTTTTTTGCTTACAGCTATATGGGTATTGGATTATCTGCGCAAGGAGTCAACATGAATAGATTACCAGGTTAGTAATAAAAACTTCAATTGAGAAAGAGTATTTTTTCATCATGGTGCTTTTTTTTTTTTTTTTTTTTTTTTTTTTCGAAGTCATGAAGTAGTCCCATAGTGTTTTTGAAAGTGGAGGAAATTAACCTGATTCTTTGTTCCCGGCTGATAGGTTGGGAAAAAAATTCATATGGTTACCACGGAGATGATGGGCACTCCTTCTGCTCATCCGGAACAGGAAAACCTTATGGTCCAACCTTCACAACAGGAGATGTCATTGGCTGTGGCATTAATCTGATTGATAACACATGTTTTTACACAAAAAATGGAGTTAATCTTGGTAATATAAACTCAGCTGTTGCAGTTACGTGTATAAGTGTGTCCTATAAGTGTGTCCTATAAGTGTGTCAAACATTAGTTGTTTGTGTTTGTTTGGTTGTTTCAATCAGGGACATATTTTACAATCAAGGGGGTCATGCTATGTCTTTAACCCTTTAACTCCCAAGATCTCATAAGTAATTCTCCTTACTGTCTGTCATATAGTTCTTCTGATGTTGGTTTGGAGAATTTATCCTAATTAAGATTTTCTCTATTCTCATTACTTGTCTTCTTGATATTGTATTGATATTGTAAGGAGAAATTCTGTCTTGGTCACTCATGGGAGTTCAACTGTCCTGGTGCAACAAAAAAATTCCTAAAAAACTCAAGGACATAGTATGAATTAAATAATTATTTCCTCGAGTCTAATTTGCTATAATCATTATTTTGTTCACTCATGGGAGTTAAAAGTTAAGGGTAATTATGTGAGAATAGGATCTTCAACTGTCCAGGTGCAACAAAAAAATTCCTAAAAAACTCACGGAATCAGTATGAATTAAATAATTATTTCCTCAAGTCTAATTTGCTATAATCATTATTTTGTTCACTCACCCACTCACTTACTATTTTTTTTCACTGGTTTTACAGGAATTGCTTTCTCAGACCTACCTGTAAGTTTTTTAAGTGTTATTTTTTATTAATTGCATTCTTGTTTTTTCATGTTCTACTAGTGGAATTCTTGGTTATTATAAGTTACATATACATGTACTTATATCCAGATTAATTAGAATTTATTGTTTAAATATTACAGATTGTATTTCTCACTCAAGTCATTTCCTTTTAATTGATTGTATTTCTAGGCAAACTTATACCCAACAGTTGGTCTTCAAACACCAGGAGAGGTAGTAGATGCAAATTTTGGCCAGCAGCCTTTTGTCTATGACATAGAAGAAGTCATGAAGGTATATGCTTGACTTACAGTAATTTATTAAATTTACAAACACTCAACTTCATTCATAAGGTGTATGATCTATGGGAAAATTTGACAATTTGTAACTTCCATTCTTGTTTCAGTAAGTTTCAAGTCCATTTTTTCCAATTTAAGCTTGCTCTGAAACTTTTTGAAATTTTTCTTATTACTATCTAACCAGGCATTCGTTTTTATCTTTCTTCCTTTTACATGTTTATAGGAAGTTCATGCTCGGACAAGGCATACAATACAGACATTCCCTTTCACAGACAAAGAGGGCCTATGGCAGACAACACTGCAAAAGTAATCAGCTTTAATTAGTGCATGAATTGTACAGTATACCCCCTAAATCAATCTTGTTTTCATTGTACATATAATAATAAGAGCAGTATAAGAAACCTACAAACTCAATGGAAGTAACTGCTGCATTTTCAGTTTCTTGCTGAATCAATCATCTGCTTTTACCACATGCTTACCTGCTGCCTCTGTTAGCAGAGTCCATGCATATTAAAAATAACATTTGCATAATCAAACAACTATCATAATACCAGTGTGGTGCTCTACTAAATGAGCCAAGAAAACACAGAATGGCAGCCAGGGCATGCATTATTCTTGCTGATTCAGTCACATTCTTACTGCTTCTTATGTCCTATGGAATTTAGGGTGGCATAGACTTCTCTCTTTTGACTCTGTTCAATCATGTCACATCCACTTTAGAGTTTGTTACTTCTCCTGTCGAGAGTGAGCTTCTCTTCGTGTTTGCATAATATACACAGAACAAACCCAGTATATGATTGTTTTTTGTATTCTCACATCATTGTTAGGATTGTATCAACGTACTTGGTTCATCATGGCTACTGTGCTACTGCTGAGGCTTTTGCTAAGAGTACTGGACAGTCGTTTACAGAGGAACTGGCTTCGATCAAGAACAGACAAAGTGAGCCAACAGTTATGCAAGACAGACCTTTAAAATATGCTTGTTGAATTGTTTGCAAGTTTGAACTGATCAGTATTACTAACTATAAGATAAAACAGGGATTGATGCTGAGTCAAATCAAGATTATGGGTTTCATAGCATCTTTTGAATCCTTGTTTGGTTTGCAAACTTCCTAGATTTTGTTGCAAGTCTGAATGTTATGATCATTATCAATGGGGCTTTTTATTCTAGTACATTCAATGGAATAACTTTGTCTCTGCAGGAATACAAAAGTTAGTTCTGGCTGGCAGAATTGGGGAAGCTATCGAAACAACACAAACATTATACCCAGGACTCCTAGAAAGAAATCCAAACTTGCTTTTCCTTTTAAAATGCCGGCAATTTGTGGAAATGGTTAGTGGATGTGACAGTGATGTACGACCCGCAGCCCATAGTCCTAGATCTAGTCCTAATGTCAGCCCTTCACACTCATATAGTGCAGCATCAATTGGAAGTGTTGCAAGTAGTTCTCCTTCAGCCACCAATGGCTTTGTTGCAAATGGCACATGTATAGACAATGGATTTGAAGCTGATAATGTACAAATGGAAGTTGAGGAATTTGAAGAAACATCAAGCAATGGTGTAGTGAATGGAACAGAAAAAATGGATGAGAGTGATCATAGTCCTAGCAGAGGTAAATGAGTAGTGTGAATATTCAGGTTTATGCTAAATTTTTGACCCTCCACATCAAAGCATTCTTTAGCAAGATCTGTTTATCTGCTTGGAATACTGTACTGTACAGTAACATCCATGAAAATGACTCTAGCATATTTTCAAACTAGTTTGGTTTCTCTTTATATAGGATTGTTAAAATCGTCATGAGTTCAATCAGATTGTGACCTTGACTTGCAAAAAAATTAGGATAGTTCAAATAGAAGTTGCATCAATAGAAATACTTTTTTATCATCTATTTGAGCAGTCAATGCTTTTTGTTTCTTCAGATTCCACTGGCAGACAAAATTTTTGTCAAAATAGAACTGTGCTTGAAAAGATTTTAGCTTTTGGAAGAGATTTACAAACTATGAGTGTACAATTGAGGAGAGAACATGGAAAAAATGAGACAAATAAGAAGACTCTTCAGGCAAGTCAATTCTGTAACTTTGTGTTTCCTATTTTATTTCTTTATATATTTAAATGTCCAGTTCAACAACATTGTTTTTAGCATGACAATTGAAAACTGTTTATATTTTTCAGGAAGCATTTAGTCTTTTGGCTTACACAGATCCCTGGAGCAGTCCTGTGGGGTATATTTTAGATCCTGTACAGAGGGAATCAATATGTTCATCTTTAAATAGTGCTATCTTAGGTAATTTTGGATAATGTTTTTACACACTCATATTATTAAAAGCTGCATGTACATGACAATGGTTTAATTACAGTCCAATTATGGATGTTTTGACAGCCTGAGAAGAGCTTGACCTTCCACAACATACGTAGATAGAGGTACTCAGGTTAAGAGGTGATAAAAATTGAACTGCTGAAATAGCTTCTCATGTCTAATGGTGACTTCTGCTCAGGTTGTGGAAATCTCAATTGCCATTGTCAACAGCTGTGTGATAATATCTTTTAACTTAACATAACTTTATGCTTAGCATGAATCTTTTTCTTTTCGGTGTTGATAAACACATGAGCAAATATTTTTAACTATTCATAAACCTGTATATTCATTGACATTGAGCTAGGGATAAAGAAATAATCCTGCCTGAAGAAAGATTTCATTCATCTGTCACAAGATTTTAACCCAAAAAAATTAGTTCACTTTGTAGATTCAAACCTTACCCTCGGATTTTGCTATCTGGTGCTGTATCCCTGAGCAACAAAAATTGTTGATTATCTGGGGCACATACATCTGTACATGTACCAAGTTCATAAGTTATGTGACAGAATTCCTACCTTACTATTTCGGTTGCTTTCTTACAGCATGTTATGTCCTATGTCATATGGTAGCATAGACTTCTTTCTTGTGTCTCTGTTCAATCATGTCACATCCACTTCAGAGCTTGTAACTTCTCCTGAGCTTTTTTTCATGTTTGCACAATATGCACAGAAAAAACCCAGTATATGATTGTTTTTTGTATTCTCGAATCATTGTTAGAATTGTATCAATATACTTGGTCCATCTTTAGGATCAATGTTCTTTAGTCTTACATATTAACCCGGTATCTGGCCTAGCTCACCATCAAGTTTCCTTTAGCTCCATGGTAGAGCAACAGAGCACCAAATCCAAAGGGGCAGGGTCTGACACCTTGTTGTGGACTTGGATTTTTTCCCTTTCTCCTAACCTCTTGTTATGAATGTTTTAAAACATTTTAATTCTATATTCAACCAAGCTTAAATTTACTGTCTTTCTAAATCCATTGATCTTGTTTGCTTTCAGATTCTCATCACTTGCCCACAAAACCCCCTTTGGACTTAATTCTGGGACAGGCTCAAGAATGTTTGAAACTCATGTCAAAGATTGGACTAGGAGCATGTGCATTTGCTAGTGTTGAAGAGTACATGTAACATACAAATGTGGGGCAAATGTTTGGTTAATCTGTGGATAAAAGTACAATGTTTTATAAAAGCTTAAAATGACTCAACATAAAAAGTCATTGTACGCAGTGTAAACATATCAACAAATGCATTACTTACTGGTACTTAAGTTTTTATCAAAATGGTGGTTATGAATTTACATGTAGGCAGCATTTTCTCTGAATCTTAAAGTCTTTTATGAGTAGAACCAAAAAATTACATTGCGTGGTATCAATAATCTTTTCACACCCACATCCAAAGACACTTGTATTGTCTAAATTAGATATTACAATTTTTACAGAAAGACTCATAGTAGGCAACCAAGACAGTTTTCATTTCCAAGACTGTTAACAGAAATCCTCAGAATTGCTTTGAGATTGTCTCCAGAAGTTCACACCACTAACTCAACCAATCATTCACTGATAGAGTAAATTGTGACTTATGTACTCTCCTTTTGATATTTTCCTCTGCCTTCCTTATCAGAACTGGTATCTTAAACTGCTAGACTGTTATTGCACTGCTATACTGTTAACCTACATGTAAATCCAATTCCTTATTTTTGGGTTATTAAGGGGTAAAAGAACCTGAAACATTGTTTGAATTTGTAATTTGCTATAGGGGTTTATTTTATTTTTTGAAATATTGTAAAAATTCTGTAATAACTTGACAGATACACAGTCCTGTATATTAGTCTTGTTTTTTTTGGGTTAGTTTTGCATTGCACATCTTGCAAATTGTCATTATTTTTGTAAAGTTTATCATGAAAATTATTTGGGGTTAATTAGAGGGTTTGTGCAGGACAGCAAGAGGGTCATGCATGGTTGATGTCAAAGGGTACAAGTTCTACAATAGGAAAACCATGAACATCTGCTTTCTGATATTCTTTTTCCCTCTAAATGACTGATTTAGCATTCAACTGCTATTAGTTTGTATTACAGGAGTGTAGTGACATATTATTCTCTAGTTCTGCATTGTTTTAGAGTATAAATCTACTTCTCTAATCATGGCACACCCTCCAGATGGTTGCCTAAACAGCTCAACACAGTTCTTTTACTGGCTAATAGCCGGATTTGTCACTCAAACCTTCATTGCATTTGTAATGCAGACTAAATCCAGATGATATATTGCATATTAATCAGAGGTATTCTCTACTATTAAATATCTTTCCTTTTTGTCTTTTTGTTGGTGAGTTTTTACAGAAAAATCTGTTTGACAATCAAGAAAAGCAATTTTGAACTATATACTGTATATTACTTTTGATTAGTGTAGGGGCTAGGTTCTTTTTTCATAAGTGTGTAAATAAACTATATAGATTTTACTTTTTTGTCTCACATTATTCTTGTTGCACTCAGCACAGTTTGCCTCTGACAGATAACCTTCATAAATGAATAAAGGGGGTAAGTTTCTGAAGAAACTGTGGTGCTGCGTCGGTGAGAGAGTATGGCAGGTAATTAGTGTTTACAACTGAGTTGAAAACATATATTGGCTACCGTAAAGAGTGCAAAAGCTGACGTTTCAAGCGGTAGCCCTTTGTCAATCGCTCTGACAAAGGGCTAACACTCGAAATGTCAGCTCTTTTACTCTTTACAGTGGCCAGTTTGCATTTTCAACTTGTTGTTAACACTAAATTATCAGATAACCTTCCTAATTTGCTCTTGGTGTTCACCTGGTCAAAATGGTCAACAATACTGTATTTCAGAGGTTGTGCTCCTTGCCATAGTAAACTAGAGCATACTTGAAGGAGTAGCTAAAGTTGTATTTTTGTTGAAAGACTTTTAAAATATAACCAGAGTATGCTGAAGACAAGGAAGCTCATATAGCACATTCATATCAAACATTTGTTGAGTCTGCAAGCAAGCTCTCATTCACACTGTGGCTTGACCAGCAAACCCCCAAGATTCAAGTTTTCAAGCAAAGCAAGGGTGCAAAGAGCCACAACCCTCTTAGACATTTCCCTCACTTTGCTGGCTGGCTTGAAATGTGTGGGCTGCTCTGCTGCTTATGTGAGACTTTTGGGTCCAAAGATGCCACGTTGAAACAGTAACTTGAAAAATTCATGGCCTTGAGAAATACAAGATCCTAAAGACCTTACCAATTTGTAGAACATATGCTCATCAAAATATAGGAAGAGAAGTTTTCATTTTTATTCGATGTCTTTTCAAGATTTGGACTAAAATGTTAAAATGAATCAGGCCTGAAAAAGGATCATGCAGAACCCCATGACTTTGCAGCCACCCCAATGAGACCTTGGATCCACTTCATAGAAATGTGATTGAAAGCATTACTTATCTTTCCAGAACAATGGTTTGACTTTCAGAGGAACGAAGGGTGGTTGCACATGGTTAGTCAACAGATGATCTCCCAGGGACATATTTCAGGTGGTAAGCCCCAGGTTGTAGATTCTCTTTAAGCAGTTTACATCCTTGTCTATATATTTTGTTGCATTTTAATTTATTTCATCCCTGCTGTTGTAAAGAGGGAAATGTTGCCCTCAGTCTTCCAGATGCATTTCATTACATCAAATTCACAAACAAATGGCATTTATTTTCATTTTGAATCTATGCTGTACTAGTATTTACAATATTTGACAAGCTGGAAAAAGAAAGTTTTCTACGAGTTATGGACCAAACCAAGAGTACAGAACTTGTGCAACAAATTTTATGATTTAAAGCAATAACTTATGAAAGCAAAGAACAACAGAACTTTGATACAAGTCTTGAGCTTTTACTCTAAAGGGAAGGTTTTTTGAAATGATAATATTCCAACTTTAACAAGTCAACATGCTTTTCATACATGTAAATTTCACTTCAAATTAATCACTTCCTAGACTAACTAATAGAATTAATTGCCACAAGTTTACTCAGTGATGGCATACTTGCTCTCAAATTCCCTCATTTTATCTTTGAATACTAAAAGTGAAAAAAGAAAGAAAATGTCGGTAAAAAATGACTCAAACACAGGCATTGGGCTTCAGAGTAATGGATATTTCTGCACAGGCCCCATACCAAGACAAGAGCATAGTCCTAGAGGCAATGTATGGTTTGAACTATGGGAAAATCTTACTGAGAAATGTAATGCAATAGAAGGAAAGAGAAGAAGAGTCAGTTTGAAGCCTGGAGTTCAAACTTTCTAATAACAAAGAGAATATAAAGTTTCTTCTACAGTCTGGACTTAATTGATTTTAAATTACAAATTTACATAACATTACCAGCTTTATTATTCCATTTCTGAGCTGCATCAACATTAAGTGGGTTGTCATTGTTTGGTGCTGAAAAGAAACAAATTACTTTTCATGTGGTTACTCGTTACATTTTTAGGCTCTATCTCTATCACTGATTGGTCAAATTCTTTAATTGTCATAAAACACCTTGCTTTATTTCAAAATCCCTTGCTTTGAAAAGCAGGTTAAATTTTTATTTCTCAGTTTCATAGTCACTCACAACTGAATTAAATTATTTGTTACCTCCCAATAACGCTTGTATGGAATGCAATATGCTTCTGACGCCATATGCAGAAGTCCATTTGTCCTGCAAAATAATGCATGATCAAGTAACGTCAATTTGTTACTCTGCATTCCATTTCACAGTGCGCCTAGCAACACACTTTCCAGAAGCCCTTTTACCCAATAATGACAAGTTAAACAATATTTAGCCTACTGTACCTTTAGAATGTCTAAGCAAATGTTTCCTTTGTCGTCCACATTAGGGTGATAACATGGCGTCTTGAATTTGACTACAGGAGGTTTGTGAGGATACGTGCTTGGAAATTCTAGGGTTAATTGGTACTTTTTCCCATCATAGACCTACAATGAAATGTCAAGTACAGAGCTTGCGTCAACCGTTCAACGAAAACACTAAAAAATTTTCTCATCGGAGAGAAGGAAAAATGCGATAAGCAAGGGTAACTTTCAGACTCTGATGTTCTCTCCTGCCTACATCCTAAGCCCTGGCGACTTCTAAATAACGCTTCTTTAATATTTACAGTGCTTTTTGAGGTTTTTTGATTTTTGTAAAAGCAATTTTTTGCTTTCAACAAGAAACACACAGAAACTCTGGTCGGGGTGGAACTAGAAGCTGAGCCTGGCACAAAGAAAAAAAGATACTTTACCGTATCCTTTCCTCCATAAATTGTTCCAATCCACTCTAAGATGCCATCGCCAGATGGAAATGCCGAGATAAGACTGTCTTGATGCTATATAACAGAAACATTAAAAAATTATTTACTTGAGCCACTAAGAATAGGACAAGATAATGAGCAACCTGGGAGAAAATAATTACGAGTACATCAATTTCCGAGCCTTACCTCAGAAAGTTCCTTAAGATCCAGTAATAGCCTGTTTATCAAATTTAACGACCGATTAGTGCAAAGAAAACACCTGGAATGACATGTCAATCGAAATATTCCTCAAATGAGATCCCAACACTCTTTACCTGGCCCAAACTTTTCCCTCGCAAGCCATTATTTTGTGGAAAACAGTACAACTTTATCGAAGCTTCGATACCTCTTCCTCTTCAGAATAGAACGGCTAAAGGAGAGGTAAGTTTTTTAAACTTGAATTCTCTACTCATGGACCAATCAGATCGTCTATTCTAATAAAATTGACCAATCACAGCGCTTACTTTCTTTCGGTTCCAGTCTACCCATTTGGAATCCCATAGATCTCTTCGGTCAGGAAAAGCGCCATATTGGATTTCACGTTTATTACTTGATCGCCGTGGCTAATGAAAACAGATAATTTCACGTTGACATGCCTTACGCAAACCAACCCAGTGTAAAAATTCTGGAGCTTACAGAAGAAAATGTGAAGTTTGTGATCGAAAATACAGACTTAAGGTATGAATAAGAACATTTTGATCGACTTCTTTATCACGGTACTCATGTTAAAGACGTTCCAAAAGTAAAAGGCAGCCTGTCACCCAGCTCCCTAAGTTTTTGAGCTAATTCTCCTAACTTATCAGTAATCATCTTTGGTAAAATTTCCGCACAGCCTCATCCTACGTTATGCATTCAGTTCTTGGATAGAGAAAACAGTACATTGCCATTGGGAAAACAGATTTGTTTTACAGTAGTATGGGGCTGTGCGGAAATTTTACCAAATCACCACTGAAAAGACTGTGGTATATGTAATACAGAAATCAGCACAAAATAAATGGAGTTTGTTATTGTGATTATAAACACCTCAAGCTGGAAAACAAACTTTTGAGCTCAAGATTGCAAAAATTTATGAAACAGGCAGAAATTGGAAGTAAATGTATCACCAAAAGGACTGTTTATGGTGATTTTGTGATTTAGGATCAGAACTCAGTTACATTTTGTCGAAAACTCAAAAGTTCTTTTTGTTTTGCATTAATTACATGCTCTGGTTATATGACCAGGAGCTGGTCAAAATTTTCAAACAACTCAATTACCAGCAGTTGGATACTTTTCTGAAAATTTGACAAATTGAGAGATCTTATACAATCCAAACTATCATATGTTGTTGAGGAATTGCTAAGTGATCTTGAGAGGTTTTATGAATCTCATACTTTTCTCAGAGTACAGAGCCTTGGATGTTGACACTTCTGAAATTGAGGTCCACTGCTGGTCATGATTTTTAAATAAGTAACTGACTGGTGGTCACAATTTTGAAAGAACCTATACAATCCAAAAACTCTCTGTCAATGAGGAACTACTTAGCAATCTTGAGGAAATTTAGAAAACTCATGTCTAAAGCTCAGTTTACGCTGACTCAGAATACTTAGAAATTGCATTACTTCGACTGGCAGTCACTGTTCTCAAATAACTAAATGACCTACACAATCCAAAATACTCTCTGTCAAAGGGGAACTGGGAAGTGATTTTGAGGAGATTCCCATATTTTAAGTCTGATGCTCGGTTTACGCTGAGGTAGAATACTTAGAAATTGCATGACATTGACTGCCAGTCACAGTTCTCAAATAACTAAATAACAGGAAGTCGTTAGTTTTTCCAAAACCAAGAGAGCCTATACGATCCAAACTACTCTAATATTGACCAGGAACTGCTAAGAAATCCTTAGAAGATTTATAAATCTCATGTCTGAGAGCATTAACTTATTATTGTATATTTATTTAAGACATACAAATCTGAATTTGTGGAATTATTGTAGCAGTTATAGATGCAGCAATAGTCCACCATTCCTTAAGTTTCGCATTTAAATTTGTTATGGCTACGAATGTTGTGTACCCATTTCAGACCATGTGGCCAATCTATGATATATGAGTCTAGAAAGGTCTATTATACACAATGTAACTACAGGAAGTCCCTGGAGCAGCTAAAGGGTGCATTCCAGTTATTTTATTCATTTGCTTCTTTTTTCCCCCATTTTCTCTTTTTCAGCATGGCTAATGGCCTACGAAGGATATTTATTGCTGAAACTCCAACTATAGGTTACTCTTTAACTTTCTTGTTAATTATTAGTTATTTTTGCCTAGTTTCAGGGTTCTAGTCTCCACTAGCTTAAAAAGTCCAACTTAAAATGAGAGGAAACTTGATTTTTCTGAACATTTAACTCTCCTCACTGTAAAATGCTTCTATATTGTAGAACATGTACGTACAAGACATTACCATTACCATTACCATTACTATTACCACTAACCACACCCACAAGAGATTGAAATAGAGGCTTGATACATATATGTAATCAGCACTCTGTACATGTATATCAAGCCCTTAATTTATTCATTCTGTCAATGGTTTTCAGTGCAGTTATTAGCCTAGCTGATCTTTTGTTTGCTTGCAAGAGAAATTCCATATATCAAACACTTTCAACTGGGCTATTTAAAACCATTTTTTATACAAAGTTGACCTTCTAATCATCTCTTTTCAGCCATAGACTGGGTACAAATTGACAACAACACTTCTGTGCTACATGATGAGTTTATTGCCCACAGATTAGGTAGGTGTGTAAATACAGTGTGTATATGCACATTTTTGCTGTCAGTTTTGTGCCTTTATCTTGTATTTGCATTTTAAATTATCAAGTATTGAACACCAGGCCCTGGTTTTTCAAAGGTCAGATATTGCTATCCACTGGATAAATCTCTATCTGGTGGATATTAGGCTATACAGTTTGCTATCACTTTTCCGTTTGATATATAATGATTTATCAATTGGATAGTGTTATCCACCCTTAATATAACTAGGCCCAGGATTTTACTAGGTGCAAATACAAAATATGCTTCTTGGATAAGATACTCTACTGTAACAACATGTAGACAAACAGTCAATGACAAGAAAGTGCAACCTGTTTCAATTAGCCCATTCTTCTGTATCTAATACTCAACATGTGGTTTTGGTGACCCTAAGACCGCTTTGTCTTAGGGATAAGTCATGATAACCTATCCCATCCAGTTTTGCTGATGAACCGTTCAAGGGAATGACTTTCTCTGGATTACTTTGAGGGACTTACATGATCCCTACTAATTTTTGCACAGTTTTTTACATGAGGTAACTTTTCCATCAGGTCTTATTCCTTTGACCAGTGATGAAAGTGTGGATAGATTGTGCTACTCCAGAGTAAGTGTATCTTGAACACTGTTGCTAGAAACATGAGGAAGTTTTGAAAAGAAGGCTTCAGTTGACAAAAGTTTAGGCATGAAAGAGATTTGCATTGTTGACCCTTTAACTCCCATGAGTGACCAAGAGCAAATTTCTCCCTATAAAGTCCATTCATTTTAAAGCAGAAAAGCAATGAGATTAAAAAAATATATATAAATTAGGGGATTACTAGTTGATTCAATATCAAATTCTCAGAACTAACATTATCAGAATTCAATGGCAGACAGTAAGGAGAATCACTAAATTAAATGTAATATTGGGAGTGAAAAGGTTGAACCCTGCAATGATACTGGTGCAGTGCTCCCATAAGCAAATTCCCCAAGTCTGCTGGGAGCTGAGGTACAATTTGTATAATGGTTAGGTTTATTTTGTAGTTTACAACTATTCTCTGAACACTTTTTGACTTCACCCATTGCATGTCAGTGTTATATCAAAGTACATTAATCTGACCAGACTGTGATTTCTTTTGTAAAAGGATTGCACATGTGAGGAGTTCTGTCCAGATTGTTCTGTTGAACTGAAACTGGAAGTAAAATGCACAGATGATCAAACACGACATGTGACAACCAGAGACCTCGCATCTTCAGATCCAAAAGTTATTCCAGTGAGTTATGCAGTTTTAAATTGAATTAGCTTTTTTCCATGGGCTAAGTGCATGATTCCATATAGTAGTAATTATGTGTTATTCATGATACAGGGTATGTATCCATCTAGAATTTAGCCACAAGAATAATTTAATTTCCAAGTTAACAGAGCAACTGAATTGATGACAGAAAGAAGCAAACATTACCTCCTTAATTTGTGAAGGTGTTTTCTCTTTTCCTGTAGCAGCCATCTTTGATAATGTTCAACCCAACTTAGAGGATTTGCTTCATTTCAGAAAAAATTGTATCATATTTGGAATGTTCTTTTAGTGTCCACAATTAGCTAATATATATGTACCTAAATACTCTGACACTTAAAAAGGTTATTCATTCATTCATTTACTCTTTGCATCTGTTTGTATAGGTTACATCACGGCACCATGAAGATGAAAACAGTGACTATGGTGAACAGGATGGTAAGTGCTTGGTAGTTTTTTTGATCAATCCTCACATTTATTTTACAGGATCCCCATGGGTAAGACACATCGCGCTACTGATTCAGGGGTGTCTATCCATTTAGAATTTAGCCAAAAAAATAATATAATTTTCGAGTTGACAGTTAGAGCAACATAATTGATCACAGAAAGAAACAAACATTTCCTCCTTAATTTGTGAACAATTCAAGGTGTTTCCTCTTTTCCTGTAACAGCCATCTTTGATATGTTCAACCCAACTTAGAGGATTTTCTTCAATTTAGCCAGATGTTCACATTTTGTTTTCCTCCGATGTCCCAGCCTTTCAAAGTTGATTTATATACTGCAGATAAAAACATTTCACATGGAATTTAAAGCCATTTGAGCCTGGATGTTGTGTTGTAGAGTTACTAATTTTTGTGGTTCCCACCACTTTTCAGACATTTTGATTGTTAAGCTACGTAAAGGACAGGTAAGATGTCTCTAATGCTCAGGTGAACACCTTAGGTTTTTGATGGGAAATGTGCCACAAAGTTTACATTTATTTTACAAACCATAATGCAAGCAGCCACTGTACAACCATGTGCTTTTTATTAAATATTTTTTTAATTTGAAATTCAAGTTTTAAAGGCATTTAGCACCTGTACCTTTGATTGACGTTCATTTACATGTACCTTTCTCTCTCAAAATTATTTACAGGAGCTCAAGTTGCGAGCTTTTGCCAAAAAGGTAAATTACATCTTCCATCTATGTTTTGTTACATGATTAGATTAGTGTATGCTGTTCCTACATCTGAATTCGCTGTGATATTGTTAGGGATTTGCAAAGGAACATGCCAAATGGAACCCCACAGCAGGTGTGGCATTTGAGTATGACCCTGACAATGCCCTAAGACATACAACGTACCCAAGACCAGAGGAATGGTAAATTTGTTTCATCTTAATTTGCTTCTTTGTTTCAGTAAAACTTTTGAATAGCAAGTCTGACCAATCTTACATTAGCCTGTGTGTAGCTGTACCCTCCCCCACCCCCAAGGTGAAATGGAAGGGACAGGACGTCTCTAATCCTTGGCAGGGAGGGGGGGGGGAGGTACAGCTACACGTAGGCTAATTTAAGATTGGTCAGACTTGCTATTCAAAAGTGGTATAATTTTTTTTAGAAATTCTTCAGCATTCCTCTTCCCATCATTTTAATTGATTTTCATGTAGATTTCTCAACATTATATCTTAGGCCAAAGAGTGAATACACAGAACTGGATGAAGATAGCCGTAAGTAGATAGTTTACCTAAATTACCAAACTAAGGTGTGACCAGACAATTAAAACTTTGGAGCAGTTTCCAGGGTATAGTATAATGTGAAAGTTATACTTGGATCAACTTGGAACAACAAACTCTACTTGTGAAAGGATACATGTACTTAAAAACTGAAATTGTTAGATGGTGACAAAAGTTCTCTGTTTGTTTTTTTCAGATCAAGCACCATTTGATCCAAATGCTAAAGCAGACAGATTTTATATAAATGTTGAGGTAAGATAAAGAATTGAAGGGATTTTTTTGGTTTTTATTTCTTTTCTAAATTCCATTTTAAACCTCTTTGTTTTACTTTGTTTCATTTTGTTTAATTTGTTTTTCTATATTCAATTTTTAATTTAGTTTATATATATTTATCGACATAAAATACCTAGACATACAGCAATACCATTACTAGCACAACATACATGTAACGTAAATAATGAGAACGTACAAAACTAGTTTAGCTTACACTGCTACAGTGTAACTTTGATATGTATCTTGTGTTAGTGATGCAAAGTCTAAGTGTCAAGACACTTTACTTACTCAAATACAGAAATAATTGTTTGCATAACATTTGATTAACATTAAAAAAATATTATAATAAAAGCATCATGCACAAAATGAAAGAATAGTTGAAATAATTGTAGTAATTATAACATTAATAATGATGATACTGATAAAACTAAATACCAGCATGAAAAAAAAGCCATAGCAGGCAAGATCTTTGCATTTGTAAGCTATCATTTAGATAGTTTACATTTATGTCAAGTGTAAACACTTTGTAAGATGCTAAGCTGTATCAAGCATTTGGAAACTTTTTATTTTCAATCTAGAACAAGTCTTATGTTGCTGTTCTGTATTTTGTAGTCCTGTGGCTCATTAAGACCTGAGACTATCGTGTTGAGTGGGCTGTCTGTGCTCAAGAAAAAGCTGAGTGATCTCCAGACTCAACACAGCCATGAAGTAGCTGCTGATGTCTTAACCATATAAGGACTGACACCCAGTGCAATGTTGCTGTAGTTATTTATTTTATAATAGAAAACTCATTTTGTAATGAAAAGATTTGATAGCCACTTGAAGTAATGTGTTCTTATCAACAGAAACAACCATGTTTCACTAAAATTTTTCAGAGGTTTAATTCAGCGGAATGGTGATTTTTGTGTTCTTTTCGTCATATGATAACGGATATTTCTCCAGGCCAAACCACTCCTGTTCATTCGTAAATTAAGCGTTTGCTTCCCCCTCGCGCGTGCAAGACGGCTGGACGCACTTAGAGACACCTTCCTTGAGGATGGCAGATTCGCGGGGTTCCATGTAATTGAACCGCTTTGACTTCAATGCAATTTACTTAGGCATCTCGACTCCCTTCGAAACCAACCAGTTAGCCCCTTAACCCCCTTAGAGTGACCAGCATCTAATTTCTCCTTACAATATCACCCCTATAATAATATCAATATCAATAATTTATTTAACCACGTTACCGTCTAAGAGCACAAGCGCTTGCTCAAAATACGAACGTGCATTAAATCTACAATTACAATAATAAAATCTAGCATTAACAGAAAAAAAGAAATTTAAATACATAATCTATAATCTATGTACACACGATTATAAAATGTTATAAAATTACACAAAAAAATTTCAAAACATAAAAATTACAGCTGAATCGATCTTAGCTTAGACTTAAAAACAAACGTTAAGGTCACGAAAATCAAGGAAATGATCACCAACGCATACCACTCTTGATTTTATGACAAATTCTCCTTGTCAGCACTTCCGGAGATGTCAGAGAACAGTATAGAGAATATGCATACTGATATTAGGGTGTGAAGGGTTAACTGCTATGATGTGACTTCGTAGATTTGCTTAATCTTCGCTGTCTTTGTGCGTTTGCTAGATCTTTGTTGACTGTGTCTTTGGCTAGATTTTCGAGGACTTTGTGTCTTTTGCTAGATCTTTGTTGCCTTTGTGCGTTTGCTAGATTTTCGTTGGTTATGTCTTTTGTTAGATCTTTTCGCTGACTAAGTGTCCTTGGCTAAATCTTTGTTGACTATGTGCGTGTGCTAGACTTTTTCAACTAGTCACCAAGTGTTATGTGAGAGTTACTATCTTCCCCAAGGCAGTCAAGAATCCCTGTGCTTTCTTGCTGAAAAGGACATAAGGTGACACGTCTTTTCTTCGATTTCTCTTTTCTTGAAAAGAGTCGTGATCGTGGACTTCATAGACTGCAAGAGAAGAATCATTTATTCCATGGCAAATAATGCAGAGGCATTGTGGGATCAACAACCACGACTGATACTCGAACAAAAGGAATGAGTGTTCAGCTTTTTCGGTTTTTTCCGTGCTATTTCTCATTCTATGACTTAATGAATTCCGTTTCTTTTTAAATTTTTCCTCGAAAGAAATTGCTAGATAATTGACGCTTAACAGGCCTCATACAATCTCTTTCACTCAAAATCAACTAACAGACCGAAAAACTGGATAGTGTTTGGCCGCAATTTATCCTGGTTTCTGAAATACAACGCGATTCAAAGTATATTGTAAATAAATCGATCAGTCACTGTCACCAGCAATTTCCCAAAATTGAGATAAGCTTCCAAAAAATTGACACTTTCGTGCACCAGATAGGTATGCGGGGGTGAAAGAGCGTGACAGAAGGGATCTTCTACCCATGATACGGGTACCCTCTATAAGAGAATTAATGTAATGTTTTACGGGACCTACCTTTTTGAAACACACTTCGTATTTTTCATCCTCGCTCGATGTTGTTGTTGTTTCTGGGCTGGTCTTCTGTTCACCTGGCCTGATCTGCTTGGGTTTGGCGCCAGGGTCTGTACATTGTCGTCTCAAATCCTACACAGCAAAATAAAAAAAGTTACGTCAGGCTTGAATAAGGTCATGTCTTCAGGGCTGCCAAACACAAAGAACTGCTTGACAACAGGGGTGGAGCTGTGAATTTTCTATTTGAGGGTCCAACATTTTATTCACCAAACATAGTTATTTTCTTTTTTCCACTATAGCCCTTATAGGCAAAAAATGTTTCAAGATAATAAAAATTAAAATATTTAAAGTTGATTACTAATATATGATCATGTCGTTGGAAGAACTTTGGTTTCAGACAAGTAATATGAATACCCAGAGGTCAGACCAGAAAAAAGTAAGGAACGAACAGAACGCGTGTCTTATAACGAAACAGAGAGAGAATGGAAAGAAACGTTCTCTTACGAGAGCTTTATCTAAACCTCCCTTTTTCGACGTGCAATTCATTTACTTCATTCATTAGATGAATTTTACCTTTTTAGAGTGATAAGTCTTTCCAGTCGCTCCACAAGGGTCAGAGTGTGTATATTCAGGACGACTTTTAGGCTGCAGTTCATAGAGACAAAAAAAAAACCAAATTTTTTATTAGACCTGCTTTATATCCCTGATATTTCTTGTCCGTTGTGTTTGAGTTATCAATTCGTTAACAACTTTCCAATGTTGAACATTTTCGATGAAAGCCCCCTAATCTACTCTTTGGTCTCTTCGAAAACGAAAAGGTAACTATTAGATTATTAGAATAATATATCGTTCGATTTTGTTATCTATGTCAATCAAGTCCTTTCGTCATGAAACAAAATAGTGCAGCTCAGAAGATCTTAGGTTGCAATCTACTTGACACCACTTGCGATTTCTTTTCTTCCAAAAATGCCTCAAGATATAGAAATTGCCGGTCAAATCCTCATTTTTCAATGAATAACAAGTATTCTTACCGGTGAGAATAGACCCTTCCACAGGTTCTCCAGCCAATCAACCTGTCTCTGTCGATTGGTCTGAAGTTGTTGGAGTTTACCAAAATTCTTTTTATCTTCGTCGGTCATTTTTTCTTGTGTCGTTGCCAAATCCTCAACTCGATGCACCACATCGTTGTGTTCTGCTCTAAGACCGTGATACGCAAAGTCGTAAAACTCTCGTTTCACCTCCTCACTGCATTTACAACACTCAGACACCATGGAGTGGACAGAGGTGTACAACTCCTGTAGACTTACACTGAGTCTCAGTAAAAGGTCGAGCGTGACAGAAACTTTCAGTTTGTCTTCTTTTATCTCTGGCACTTCCAATAAAGATGTTACATTTTACGAAGGAGCTCGTCGAGGTCTTTCAGCTTTGCGTCGATTTCACCCTCCGTATCTCCTCGGCCTGGTGCGAGAGAATTTCTGGTATCTTCAAAATCATCCTCTCGGGCCGAATTATCGAAGTTCTCGGCCAAATCCTGCAAAAGTACACAAAATTTTTTTGTCATCAGAAGAAAAAGAAGAAAATTGGGTTATAATTTATACATAGCGGCTTTATTATTGGGTTGTGCAAAAACTCTTAACGAGACGCGCCACTCGCCACAGCTGACAATATGTTGTCCCTGTTACCAGGAGCCTATTAAGTAATGTGTAATAGCACTTGTTTTTAAGTAAGTGATTTGGGAATCAGCAAAAAAGCGCACCATTCTTGTAAATCGGCTCAGAAAATTTCTCAAAAAGCAAGTCCATACCCCAAACGAAAAATTGCAAAAAAATCACTATGATTTTTAATTCTTGTTAAATTTTTTTTTTAACATTTCGTTTAGGAAATATGAGCTGTTTCTGTAGCGTTCAACATAGTTTAAGTAACATATGCCTACCAGTTCTGACTTGTCTTCTCTTATTTCTGCCAACTCCTTTTCCAGTTTTAAAGTTCTGGTCTTCCACTCTTCACTCTGTGTCACATATTAAATGAAAGACAAAATTTCAGAAATGACGTTTGGTAGTTAATTATTTTTTTGAGCATTGAGCAATTGTCACAGGGTATCATGGAAATTCATCCCAATTATATTGGAATGAGCTGAAGGTACGTCTGATATGTTAAGAAGCAAAAACAAGAACAGAGCAGAAAATGTGGTTACCAACCTCTTGGGAAGTTTCGTGAAGCTGTTGTTTTACTCTAGACAGTTCCTCCTCCAGTTCTTGAATTCTTGTGCGTAATTTCTGGCTCTGTTTATTAAATTGCATAAAGGAAAATGCACTTTTTGGCTTTGTTTCTATCAAGGGAAAATTATCAGATAAGGTATCCGTCGTTTGACAAGAAATGGTTCGTTACCATGCTGGTTGGAAACGTAAAGAAAGATAAATATCCAACTAGCTGCTCATCATAAATCAAAATTATTTACCAACCTCTTCTAAACTGTCTTGAAGCTGTTTTGTCATACTCTGCTTTTCTTTTTCGAGCTCTTGCTTTCTCACTTGCAATTGGTGGTGCTGTTTATTGATGAACATAGGTCTGTTTTAATTTCGAAAAACGTAATTCTGTTAAGAATCAGAAGAACTTATCTTCCAAATAATTTCTTACCTCTTTTCTCAATTGTTTACAGTTTTTCTCTATTTCATATATTGTACTCTCCATCTGAAATAAGATAAAAAATCAAACTTTTAAAATTTTGCCGGCCAATGACTCTTTTATGGGCTATACTCTTGCTTAGTTCAAATTTTTAACGGAAAGAACGTCTTGGATCTTAAAGAGAACAAAACTTTATCCACTTATACAGCAAATATTCTTAGGAGGGCTTAAGGCATCATCCAATTACACCTAAAGTTGCTAAAAGTTCGAGAATTTACTTGATTTGAGTCGTTTCTTCCTACCTCGTCGTTCTCTTCTGATGACAAAAGACCTGGAAATTAAAGTTATATTACTTTTGTAAAAGCACTGTTTAATATTTCCACTTTTCATAATTAAAAAGGAGAGAAATAGTTCTTTTTTTGCAAGACTCAAAATTGGGTCAGGTATATCTTATATAAATAAAAGTTAGGGACCTGAAAGAAAATCATCCCGGAAAAATAAAGTTGTATTGGGAAAATCTTACAGGCACAGGGTTTTACTTTAACTTTAGAAAATGAAATATTTAGTTCATCCTTAATCGCGTGTCAACCAACGCTTTGACGAATACGAAGCGACATTACATACACGGAAGTTTTTCAGCTACATTCCTGAGTCCTATCTTTTTTAAAGCTTCAGCAAACTTTCCGATAGTAGCATCCTCTCCCTTCTGATTAGTCCACCTTACAATGACCGCAATGCAGCATTCGTTGGTAGAAGTACCCTTATCGCTCTCGATCGTGTCAATGACAGCTTCTGTGAACTTAAGTTGTCGTGCCAGGTCTCTCCACTTGTTCCCTATCTGTTCCGATAGGAGACGTTTATTTATATTTTCCTCTGTCATCTGAAGTTTCCCGCTGCACTTGTTGCTGGAACAACCTGCTAAAAGTACCATAGCTCAGAGTTAAAAAGAATGCATGCGACAAAGCGTTAACAGGTTCTATTCAGTAATTTAGTTGCGGAGAGAAAGTACAGAAGCGATAAAAATTTTCCTCGCGTAAATGACAATCGGACACAAAAATATTCATGATGTTCGACGGTCTACTGCTAATACGCCAGTAATTTATTCTTGTATCATTAACGTGAGGTAAAGTAGGCTGGGCAATAGCAAAGTTGTTGTTTCGTCATCTTAGTAGACCAATACCGAATCCTTACTGACTGATTGGATTGTTTCATCAAATGGAGAGATTTACAGGAGGATATGAGTTTTTGCGCAAACTCAGACGCGTTAGTTGCGAGCTGAGCCCCCGATCATTTTTGCCGAGGTATCTCTTTCAGTCATCATTCAAATGCAGTGCAAACCTCAGACATAATGATGACGTAGGCACAGCATTGCTTAGCATCCTTATCCTAGTTAAAGTTGTTTTTGATGGTGCAGGGCCACCTCAGAATAGATAAAACTCCTCTTTTAGTCGATTGTTAAGCAGACTTGAATGATGATGCTGCTGGTAATTAGTATTAAAGCTACGATCGTCTTTGACGGACCAATTATGGGGGCTATGTTATTTTCTTACTAGTAAGCCGGATGCAATTTGATGATGCGACATATCGAGCAGAAAAGTGGAAAACTGTTAATTTTGTTGACAGTGGACGACAAGTTAAATAATTATGTAGTTAAGAAACCCTGTATTGCAAGTTTTTTTTCCGGTACGTGAAGTATGCTACTTCTAAATTGAAGGGAATTTTCCCTTTGACAGTCGTCGGAAAATACTGTAATACCGTACGGAAATTAGGGGCTAGGGGGCAAAGAAGCCTCAGGGTCATGCTTAATAACCAGATGAACAAAATATGCACGCGGAAACAGATAGGAAAACTGATAGAATAGCAGATTAATCGAAAGGGAAAACAGATCAACTGAACGTTAAACACCTCAGTCTTATTTGATTCATACAATATACATAATTTTAAACAATAAAAAAACAACAACAACAACATTTCTTAACATTACTGCCGGCGGAGAATGAATTCAACCACCCGGAAATTACTCCGGCAACTGATAATATTGGAAATTAGCTTGGATAGACCGCACCGTTATGATGTACTTACCCATTTCTGAGGATTTACTGATATTGTCCGTATGTATTGCAAGATGGTGTTTTAGAGTAATCACTCCAATCTAGTGATCAAACAGTTTTGACTCTTGGACAAAACAGTATTAATCTCCCGGCAGCAAGGGCTCGTCTGAAAGTTTTTAAGGCGAAATCAGGCGTTGTATATCTGTCAGATGGCCTGTGCTTTACCTGTTTCCAAGATTAAAAACCTCAGTCAGGAAAACTTGAGAATGACAAAGCGCACAGTCGTCTCTTTATCGAGGTTGTGGCTTAGTGTAGTTAGTTAATTGTTTACTTTTGTGCGTTGAATATTGATCAGCAGACTTCTCTGTACGATCCCCACAGAAGAAAGTATGAAACACACTCACTGATTTCTTCGAACGTCACAACAGAGCAGAGCTTCGATCTGCAACACGCACAAAACTAAATAAAAAAGTAATTTCCTTGTCGTGTCTAGTATTGTCGGGCCAGCCGTCATGTGATCGTTGGGTCAGTGAACTGTTAAGTACAATAATCCGGGGTTTTTTTATTCAGCCATATGAAAACCTACTTTAAATGGCGATGTCACCCAATTTCTATTCAAAACTCGTATTTTTTTGGTTTATCGTGTTTTGGTGCTATATTTAGTAGGATGGAACGACACGCGCCGTCAAGTCGGCATTTTCCTGCCTTTTTTCGAAGATGGTTGAAAAGGTTAAGGTTGGAAACCGATACGCTGTTTGCTAGCAATCTCATATACCTCCATTATCTTCTGAGAACCAGCTGTTTGTCACGAAATTGTTGCTAGTTTTAACAGATAGTCACCCAGCCCAAATTATCAGATGGCTTGAGAGTTCACGCGAGCCTCGAGGGCGGCCGCGAGAGGCGTGCGCGTAACATGCATTTTCTGAATTAGACTGAAGAAACGAACATATTTGATAATGGTGGATAAACAGATTCAATATTTATGGAATTGATACGTGCTGCTTGGAACTTTTGTCCCATACCAGTTAATTAACTGATGAAGAATAATAAAATTGAATCGGATAAGGTCTGTTTAAATTTTAGCGATTGCTGATGGGTGACGAGTTGTATTAAGTGGTGCGTGACTCTAATCAAATCGTGGGTGAATCGTACTAATCTGTGAGTGACATTTAAAATGACGTGAACCTGACAAGTTTCCAATTGTTTAGAACTAGCCACTAATGCTCAATACCGCAACATGCCTCAACTTGTGTAGCAAATTTTCTGGGTCCTCATTAGTTGAGGTAGATATATAAATGAACTTAACAATCCTTAAGTACACTAAATAGTTTTGATTGTATAAAAAATCGTGTTAGATCACGAATGTTTGTACAAGCGTGCTTAACCTAACGGGAGACCAAGAGCGTAATGGCTTATTCTTTCCACATATTTCTGTATAGGATAAAAAAAACAACTATCGAACAGGCACATCGAAAATTTTCGAATACTTTCATTTCCGGGTTAAGCAAAGATGAAATATAAAGCAAATAATATTGTAAGCGGAAACATCATCTATGCCACCAGACGTGGTTTTCACCAAAAACTTAGCTGTAGATCAACTTTATTATTTCTCTAAAGGATTTTAATCATTTATAAATCCACTTTATAAGGTAACTTGCCTGAAATTTCAGACCGGAAGAATCGGTTGCATTATTAGGGGCTTACCCCTACAGCAGGGTTTTTCCCTGGTTTTATGTGATGATATTTCTGTTTAAATTACATCGATCATGAATCGAAAATTGACCAAAGCTTGGAACGATTCCAGGTGAGAGAAATGCCTTCCTTTAGATGAATACAGAGGTGCATGGTAATTTAATTTTCTCCAGATCGCTTTTTTCATTGGGCTTAGTCAAGATTTGCACATTTACCGTTGATTATTCTACAAATTCACTTTCATTTTCTCTTTAGTAAACGCCCCCTCATAAACAAGCAAAGCTCTTGGGTTTCGAAAATCTTGGAATCCCCCAACCTTGAGGGGGATACCCCTTCTTTATTAGAGAATTCTAATGACTCCGTTAATTAGCTTATTAAGATTGACCGTTTTATTTGCAAAGAAACCATTCGCTTGCAAGACTGCGTTGAAAATAGAAACAAATGGTAAAGCGGGGTGTTAGGATCTAGTTCCAAAAAGAAGCACGATTTTAAAGGAGAACTTTACAAAAAGTACTAAAAAAACTTTCCATACATGATGCTGGTATGAGCCCATGAAACGTAACGAACATGGATAGCTCTTTAATGATCAGGAGATAAAAGGCGATTGCGTGACACATAACACTACACGAAGATTACCCTCTTTATTGATCATATTTGAGAATAGTGCAAATAGGCTTCCATTTAAAGTACCGAGGTATCTCATTAATTAATTTAGTGGTCATTTAAACAGCCAAATAAAACGCCAGACATAATTATGATGTAGGAAAAGCATTAGCATTAGCATTTAGCATCCTTATACCAGAGAAACCTTAGAATAGATAAAACTCCTCATCTGTTAATTCCTGAGCAGGCTCAGAACGATGATGATACTGCTGGTACCGCCTATTGAGCTACGATTGCTATTGACGAAACAAATATGGAGACTATGCTATTATCCTAACAGCCAGCTGGAAGCAGCAGAACTTATAAGACTTCTTGGGCAACAAATCAATTAGAAAGTTAAAAAGAAGACCATAAGCCTTGCACATTAAAGATTAACGATGTAAAAAAAAACACCTATTTTGTTGGCTGTGAACTACATCTTAAGCCATAATTATGATACCTTGCAAGATAAGCACTTTTTTTCAAATTCCCTTTTTTTAGAAGGGACTATTCCCTTCGCCCAACACCGTTCGTAATATTATGTAACGATGACTATGCGGAAATCAGAAGCAAGGGTGAAAACTAGTCTCAGCAACTTACGTCATGCGCAATCAACAGGTGATTAAAATATGTACACGGAAACGTACAAGGAAACCGATAGAATAGCAGATCAATTAACTTAACTTAATTTATCACAGTCGTATTTGATTCATGTAGTGCGCATAAATTTGCGAAAAATCAAAATTTCTAAACCCCACTGCTCACATGCAGTTCACTGGGAGAAATGCATTCACCCGGAAATTAAGCAATATTGGAACTTGACTTGAATAAAACCTCCAGAAATTCCGTTTTAAAGTACTTACCTATCTCTGAGTATTTGGTGTTGTTGTCCGTGGGTTTTGTTTCCTCCAAAATAGCGTCTCAGTCTAAGTACTCCAGTCTGGTGATCGAACGGCATTAATTATTAGACAAACTAAATTCGATTTATCAGACAGCAAGACACGTATAAAAGTTTCTACGTATAGGCGCTGAGCAGTTTAATTGGACCGTTTGTTAACCTGTCCGATGGGTTAATCTTCGTTATCTGGAAAACTGTGGAATTACAAAGTGCGCAGTCTATCCCTGTATCGAAACTTCCCCGCAATGCGGTGCACTATTTTCCGTATCTGCCAAATTTACTTTGGCAGACTTCTCTGTACGAACCTCTAACGCAAAATCTGCAAATGACTCAATGACAGTGATAAACTGACTGGCTGTTTCTTACCAAGGCCACCATCAGTTCCCATGAAATGTCCTGAGTGGAGCTGTTACCTCAGACTTTCAAGGTATTTGAAGCTTAATGAATGTCGTTTAATCGCTGCTTTGAAGCTATAACGTCATATGATGCTTATATGGATCGATGAACCGTAAAATAAATCCAGAAAAAAATAGCTTTCTCTTGTTTTCACAGATGAACGCTCAGAGCCATTTGTGAGATTTAGAGTCCATGCGAACCTCGAGGGTGAAGGCGAAAGGCGCGCGCGCCATATATTTTTTGAAAAAAAAATGATCCGTGAGCGAATTCGGGTTTTTTAGATAAGACGGACAGATTTGTTAATGTAGGAGTAAAGATCAAAGTACTTTTTGGAATTGATGCATACTACTCGGAGTCGCTCTAACGTCGTGACATTCGATTTTTGACCCTTGCCAAATTATTAATTGATGCACAATAGTGACAATGAATCTTATCTGTTTAAATTTGTGCATTTGCACCGCGACTGTTGATGCCAGGTGACACGTAAAATAACGTGAACCCGACAGGTCTTTAACTGTTTATTTAAAGCTCAGACCTTGCATCTTGCCTATGCTTGTGTAACAAATAGTTTATGTTCTACATGATAGACGTTAATAAGTACATAAACTTGATAATCCTTAAGTAATTGATTCTGATTGCCTACAGATCTTAATCAGGCGACAAAATTTTATATGTATATGAGCACGGTTAATCTGAAGAAAGAAAAAAGCAAAATGTTTTATTCTTTGCACATATTATTGGATAAGATGAAAAAATCTCAGTCATCGAAACTTCTTATATCATTTTCAATTTCGAGGGGAAATGTTGCCGACTTGACACAAATTTATGCAGGTCAAAACAAAGGGATTTTAAATTTCAGACCGAAAGTAATGGAATAATTACAGGGCTTCCCCATCCTGAAATTCCTGTACAAATGATCGTCAAGGGAATTTTGACAAAAGTTATTAAATCTAAAGACCTGGGAAGCTTCCAGGGGCGTATTTGGCGGTAGGATTTCAGATAATACATCCTTTGAGATAAATTCAGAGGTGCTCAGTAATCAATTTTTATGGCTAGTGCGTCCTATGGAGGCAAAGCCATAGCGTTGTCCTGTTGAGTGAGTGAGTGAGTGTAACAATAGAATACGAACGACCTATAAGCCCTCAACGAAGTCTATCGAGTTATGCCCGATATTCCTCGCTCTTAGCTTTTGTTCGTTTCGGAACATCCTCGTTTGTTCAACGCTTGGTGACCATTTCTTCGAATGTTACTCGGAATTGGCCACGTGATCACACGAGAAGTCTTGCGACGAGTTTAAATCATTTTGGTTTAAGAATCAAGCACAGTTTTTAAGGCATTTATGGGGAACTTATAAGAGAATAATTTTCCAGTGCGAAGCAACACTTGTCGCCGAAATGAGTGAGATGATAACGATAGAGTTCCGATCTTGACCCAATTTTCACCCGATGTTTCGCGGCGCTACTTATTAGAAGTTTCGGAGAGCTACAGAAGATGATGAAAATCTCAGGAATATCTTAAAAGGTGTGATCGGCGCATCTTACGTTCTAATTCATTACGCTCAACCGAACGTAAAGTATTTTATTCGTAAGTCAACAGATAGCACAATCAAGTATGTTTGGATTCGCGAGCGAGCGAGCAGCGAGCGGATCCAGATAATCCACGAGCAATTACAACGTAAATAAAGACGTTGAACAATTAACAGAGATCTTATCGCGAAAAGGACTATTATCAGCACTTGAAGAATTTCTCGGCCTTTTCCCGCGGTTATTATTTCCTTCATCCTTTAGTCGCCGTTTTTGGCCGGCGACTTCTCTTGCTATCTCACGTTTTTCGTCTTCCGATCTCGAAGTCAATTCAATCTGACTCATACTCTGCCACTGCCAGTCTACGAAAAATTCAAGGGATTTTCCTCTCTTTATTAAGTAAAATACGGTGAACTGTTTGATATGCGAGGATTTGCATGCAATAATAATTGCAGATATCAAAATTTAAGACTAAAACAAATGTTAGAGTGGGTTGTTAGAATCTCGATCTAAAAATAATTTACCCAATGTTCTAAAAAAGTAACACGAATGGTGAAAGTTTTACCTGTCATCTTTGATTTTTACGGTAGCGGAAGGCTGGGGAGGAAAAAAATAATAATCTGCGCATGCGTTCCCCACGGCTGGAAGTAGATTAGCGCGTCACCGAAAACTGTGATACTGTGATACCTCATCCTTCGAAACCTAGACCAAACCACGAAGGAACTGCACCAAGTATACGGTTAAAGGTGGATAAAATTAAAGGGGCTATCCGATGGCAAAAAGGGAAACAACAGTGCCTGCAATGTCAGAGACAAGCGAACGTAAAGCTGATCAAGGTTTTGAAATGCAAAGTAAGTAATCATAATAAACATAAGCTCATGGATCGATTTTTTTTGTAAGTTGCGTATTTCTCTTTAATCAAATCGCATACTATCTTGATTTTTCATTTTGTAGCCGCAATGAGTCAATTTTTAATCATAATAGTCTTTGAGTTATTTTAATGTGCGTTCAGTCTAAATTCGGTATTGATCATCAATTTTGCTAAATTCGAGTGGATATATGCCTCCTGGTGTTCATCTTCACTTTCAGACGATTGAGAATCATGTCAATTGAGAGAAAAAGAAAAAAAATTTCAGTAAGAGATAAATATCATTCCATTTTGGTTACTGATTTTCGTTCCGTCTTCATGATATGAAATTATGAATCTATTTCGTTTTAACAGATGCAAATGATGATCATGTAAGCTACAACAAGCAGAGAAAATGTGTCGAAGATTAAAACCTCATACTTGAATTAATTCACAGTAAAGCGATGTTCACCTTTCAGCGAGGTGAAAGGCAGAATCGCTCTATTACTAACTTTTTTTCCCAATAGTTGTGTGTAAACAACAAATGACCTTTTCAGGCGCCCTGGCCAATGGAAAGTTTTTACACCACACACAGTTTGATTTCATCGGGCCTTCAAGCGCAGAGGAGCTTTCGCATCCGAATCATTAAACGGAAGGTTATAAGTTGCAATCCTGTTGTGAACATTTAGGAATTCCTCTATCGCAAATTTCTTGCGTCTTCTGCCAGAAACATCTTTTCCATGTTAACTACTGTTCAAGTATAGCTTTGCTCTCTTAGTAACTAATTTTTCTTTTCCATAATGATAGCTGGTTCACAATTTTTTAAAATGTAATTCCACACATTTGAAAGATTACAATCAGTTCAAGTATATTTTGTTGTGCACAGGAAACGTTATTGACCGCAGAGGGTCTGTGGTAACAGAGCGGCAGCTTTCAGACATAAGTGATGATGTAGGTACTTGCTGGCGTGAGCTGGGACCAAAGCTTGATATCTCTGCATCGAAAATCAAAAACCTGGACGAGGATTATAATTGTAGTCGCGACAAAGCAAACACTCTCCTTCTTGTGTGGAAACAAAGAGAAGGGAATACTGCGGTGGCAGGGCGTCTCGCGGATGCTTTAGAAAGCATTGGACAAAAAAGCATTGCAGAAAGGCTGTTCGGTAAGTAGGTTCTTTCTATGCAAGATTATGTAATGTCCTCTTTAGTGTACATTAATTGGTTACAGACTCATTGGGCAGATTTATGACATGCACTTGCAATGTCACGTTGTCAGATGCACGCAGTGGCATGATATATATTTCCGCATGCAAATCAGATTTTCTGCGATTAGTGTACAGCGTTAGCTATCGAAATCGCGGTCCCCGGTGACACACCTAACGATTTTATACGCCATTACGAATCACCAGTAAAATTAATCAATTAAGTTGGCGATATTATCGCATAACTTTTTAAATAGGCGAAAGGCATCGAAAATTGCAAAAAAGCTCTTCACTGTTTATGCATTTAATGGTATTGTCAAAATAATTACAACAGCGCACAGTTTAATTTAGTCGTAGTTTCATTTTTTTTGACAGACCCTGATAAGCAAGCCGTTCTTGCAGACTACTCTGAAAAATACTACGCGTCATATTGTGACAGAGATTCAAAACCTGAAGAGACACCTAAAGGAAGGAAACCTGGACTGTGGAGACGGAGACACGAGTGATGGGGACTCCGGGGGCACAAGACAAGAAACAAACTGTTCATCTGATGATAATGTAGATCCATCATACAGCGAAAGCACGGAGAAATTGCTTCTATTCTGTGAGGAAAATCGAAAATTTTGTAACTCGATATTTGTAGTTCTCATCAAGCTGACAGACGAAGTTGGCCGACTGAGTGAGGATAATTTAGAGTGTATTCAACAACTTCGGGAGTTTACAGGAGAACTGCGTGAGCAGGAAAGGAAACTTTTCGTCAAAATTGAGTATTTACGTAATCAAAGCCAACATTCGGATGAGCAGCATGCTGCCCGCGCAGAGAAATTGGTAAAATGGAAGACAGAACAAGAAAAACAATTTATGGAAGTGGAAAAGCTATTGTCGGGATTGCTTCATCAGGGAAGTAAAGACAGTAGACCACAATATCAAGGAAATCAGGTGCTTTAAAAGCTCTAAAATTATCTCACATTTAAGCGTAAATCTTCACTTAAAATAATTTAACCCAGAAGCTCGACGTATGGATATGTTCAAATATTTTATTTCAACTGCGTGTACCTCACCCCTTAAACTGATGGAGAGATGGTTTCGTCGTTTATTTCTTTATCTTTGGGCTCTTCCGGTGGAATTTTCCTTAATTTTTCAATTTTTCATTACGAAATCTTAAAAACAGTATCCCCTCAAATAGGACGTCCCAGTGGTAATACGTAAATCGTGTGAGTTCTTAAAGAAATAGCACCTCCTCGGACGTCTCCAATTCGAGACCACCAGCCTTAATTTTGGGTGCTCCAGATCAACAAATTACTTCATTGTTCAGTCTGATCATTTCTATTTTTTGTTCCCTATTAAAAAAATAACAACACCCATACGTTTTTGTTTCCAATTATGCAGTTACAAATGTTAACTTAATAATTCGATAACGTCTTTGTCGTTGCCCATGCAGTCACCTTATAATTCAAACGTCATATATTTAATTTGCATTCTTCTGTCAGTCTTAATGCTTAGCTTACATCAGTCGGTTTGTTGATGATCCTATCAGAGTGTTGAAGCCTACAAAAAAATTATCTCCTCTAACTCAACTCTTTCAAATCAAATGTTGAGGATCCTTTAAGTGTTGTAACCTTATGTTTTTAATTCTTATGCTCTACTTATACTTTTTCCTTTTGAATTATGTTATATGGAAAGACGCCTCGACAAAGATCTGCGTCAGAGGTACACTCAAAACCGCGGCATGAATATGGAAGGAAGGTAACCAAGTCTTAATTTTATCTCAGATTATTAAAAATCTCATTGCGCAATAAGGCGTTCACTAATTCAAAATTTTTCTTCAAAACGTAACCCTCCGGCTCTCTGTCAGATGCATTAAACACATTTCTAAACTTCGGACGGAAAACCGAAAGCCGGAAGGCCACGTTTTGAAGAAATTTTTTAACCTTAAACGGGAAAGTGCCGGTTGATTGAAAGCGAAGGACAAGAACAGAGATCGAGCCGGCAAAACTGTTAATGTGCTTAGATAATTATAAAATGGAAGAATAAGGTTATGTTTTTGTGTTACGCAGAGTCTCAGAAATCCTTTAGAAGAGACCCAGTCCAAAAGGACCATAGTGAAGGTATGAATGATATGATAGTTATCATAGCAACTTGAAAGGATGCAAAAGCGAGTAAAAAATATTAGCAATGTGACCTAACAACACGAAATATGCAACTGAAGGACAGAAATTGATTTCAACGTTTAAAAAACGATAACTCACTTGATAAGACTACAACAATCATAGCATGTAGGCGCTATTCACGCCGGAAATCAACCATGCAAGCGTGTCAGGTAATTGTTTCCAGAGATGCTTTTAAGGCGCTTAAATGACTATGTTTGAGAGCTAATACTCGTGGCCCTAATCTGATCCATTCAGACCCTTTAAATGTTGTATTATTTTTATTTGTTTTTTGTTTGTTTGTTTGGTTACGTGCCATGATAATATGATCCTAGCTTAAGTTCAGATTGATGACGAAATAGCAATGCAATCTCTCATTGATTTTTATTCAAGAAACCCATAATGAAGCGGAAATCGTGAGATGAAGAAACGTGCATCCTTGTTTCGTGCTCAAAATCTCCCGACGATAATAAAAGTGATTGAGCCAAAGAATCCGAGAACTGGAGATAATGCACGAGAACTTTCATCTGGGTGTCCTGAGACACCCAGGAAGGGCGATGGAAACAATCTCGCTCCAAGATTCTTCTCCGTTTGAGACAGTGAAAGGTTAAAATGGGGCTCGGAACGATAGTTACCATGTCTACTACTTTGTTAAGTTTCAAATGCAGAAATCGTAGATTTTTATTCTGGTTTGCAAAAACGATTTCAAGGACGAAAAAACAATTCATTTTCAGCAACGAAAATAGTTCGGCTTCACTGTTCTACTCTGTTCATCATCGAAACTACATCATTGCGTGTTCAGCGTTATCACACATACAAATATTCAACATTGATCTTGGGGTACCACAGCGGTCAAACGGTGACGAATGCCCTTTCAAGTAGTATGGTTAGTAATGGAGAGCCCTTGTGTAACAGCATTTTGCAGGCCAAGATACAAGGCTCTAGACTTTCCTCACTTTGTGCTAGTTTACACTCTCGCATTAGTTTTTTTACACTTTGTCGGGGTCGGGATGAAATCGCTCGTAAGCCTGGCTGTGCTGGCTGTAGTTATTCTTACCGAGTCGTTGTATTCATGGCGGAGTTGCCGGAAAAGAAGAAGCACAGCCATACTATACATACGTCACGATAACAAGTCTATGTTTATCGCAGACATTAGACTGGGAAGTACTGTAATATGTTAATTTCCTAACATTCTTGCGCTCATATTCTTCGACTATTTAAATGTGAACTTATTTATGACTAACTGGTGTAAGATTTATTGTATGATGCTTGATTAAGTTACTAGTATTAACTATAACGTCGTCACATTTGATTTTGTCCCCTGTTAGGGATCTTGAAGGGAAGATTGACGAAAGTAAAGAAATCTAACATGTAGAGCTTGGAAAGTTTCCAGGTGACCGAGTCAAATAGCTTATAAAGGTGATTTCATTCGCCTAGAAAAAAAATTGCCATTTAAAATGAGGGTGTGAAAATCTCGCTCCAAAAGGAACATGCCCAGTTTCGAAAAATTTATGAAAATGTATAAAAAAAAGAAAGAAAATCCGTCCAAAATGCTGACGTAAGCCCATCAGGCCAGATACAGACAAACATTGCCGTGATGGTACAGCTGGTATGGATCCAAAGGCGCGCAGAAGTATACCTTTACAACAGGAAGAAAAAACGTTAAAGAGAAGTGGTTTTATCGGCACTTCTGCCGACGTTTTCGTTCCTGATAAAAAAAAATTGATGTCTGAATGGAGCAACAACTTGTAAGCTGTCTTCAGGAATACAAATTTGCTGCCTCATCCAAGATGAAAGGCAAATGAAGATAACTGGCATTCTACCCCCATTCGTCAGAGGGTTCGTAAAGTTTTGGCAAGAGAACTCGTGTTCTCTTAGCTTTACATACATACATATACTTTATTTAAGCTCGAAATTCAGTGTAGCTGTAGAGCTAATATCTTCGAGAAAAAAAGCTAAAATGAAATAAAAATATGCTATCTTACAATTTCAATATTATTTATAAACTATATACAACTAAAAGCCATAACTTGTAGACCTAGCTTTGGAAACTGTGTTTTCATTACCAGTCACTGTTTTAATTATTTTCATATTTATTTTCAAAAATTAAACTAACTTACATTAACAAATTGATACTTGTATTTATGCATGTGCTACTTCGATTTGTTTTTTTTTTCTATCTGGAAACTTATTCATCAATATCTTTCTTTCACACATAGGTTTAGCATATCTAATCATTCATTTATTTCATTTTTTAAGTTGTTCAATGTTTTGCTGTTAGTGAACAAAGAGGGAAGGAGGAGTTCAGACGTCGAGTAAAAAGAAATAATCAGTGATATAATAGGACTGACATTGCAAATTAAGAACATTTCAGTGCCTTGGTGGTATACTGTTTTAACCTCCCCTGACGGCATCCTCAAGGTATCTCTATCTCAGTCGATCGGCCTCGTGTTGATAGGACTTTGTTCAGAAGCTTAACCCAACAAGAGTAAATATTTCCTAGATCCTTAATGAATGAGCAATACACATTTGGTTTCCATTTTTCAAGATAGAAGGTTTGAAATTTCAAAATCTTCACATTTTTAAATCTACAATATAGTTGAAAAATACATTAAATAGCAATTTGAAGCGGCTATACAGCACTAAGCTGATCACTGGCTATTGAAACGCCCTTCATCATGATGCTTCTCCTGATTTCCGCTGGCAGGATGAACACTCGAGTATTAACTGATATCTCAAGTCAGGCTTCTTTTCCGTTTTAAAGCTAACTCTCGTGATTCACTTTTCTGCAAAGAAGATATTATTGTATATAGTTACTGATACGTAAAGCACAAGAAGAAAACTTATGTAAAACGATTTAGGCCCAGTTCATACGACATGCTTCTGCCGTGCCAAACCTAATTGCAATTAGGTTCGACCATAGTGCGGCGGAAGCACGACTCTGCTTCAGACGTTGGGCTAATGTCTTGCGAAATTCAACATTTACTGAAGCACCCTCGACGCATACTCCCTAAAGAATAATTATTATCGTGACTCCTCCGCGGTAACGCCTGAGCCACCTTTTGTTTTTACCATATTTTGAAGTCACTCAGCCCTTTTTTTATCAGTTCTGAGGATGCTGAAAGGAAGAATGTATTCTTCTGCAGCAACACTCAGACGCCGAAAGATGTAAATCACTTTTACCAACTGTAAGCAAACACCTGCACCGAGACAGTATATGCAGAATTGACATTCCTTGGACAGGAACTAACCGTTAGGCGTAGAGATGGTCAAATTTTAACTGTTAGTCGTAAGAAAGGTTAACCGTGAAGGAAGGAAGGAACTAAATCGTTAGTCGTAAAATCGACAAAATTGTAACCATCAGCCTTAAAAGCCATCACCTCACTGAGAACCTCCTTGAATCTAAGTGCATTTTTTTCGGTCTCGACTTCTTTGATTTTCCATGAAATCTCAGATATTGGGGTCAAACATGTAGTTAGTCGAGTTACTTTGCAATCGAAAAGTCAGAGGGAATAAACACTTGATCCCCGTGTGCTTTTCAAACTCGAGGATCAAGAATTTGCCCAGAAAACTATCAAAAGCTTAGCGTAACTATAAACTCAAACTATTCAAAAACATTTGCGAATTACCTCTCCTGGCTAAAGGTCTTCTGGATCTCCATCAAACTCATTTCATGAACTATAAGTGGTTTTGATATGTTTCTTATCTCGTCCACGCCTGACCATTCACTCAAACTTTGATGTCTGCTCTTCTTGCTAAAACACAAAAAATTAACTAAATATTACACAAGAGGGGTGTAATTGCACGTTTCTATTGACTTGCCAGGGTTTTAGGCCATCTAGATAGAAAAATAAATTTTTTTAACGTATTTCATTAATGTAAAGAACTGAAAAACATTGGCTTCGAAAGATGGAAATGACTGTGGAAAATACCTGACTTTTTTCTATTTTCCGCTATGATTACTTTCTTTCCGCACTCACCTGATCAAGCAAGAAAGAAAGTAACTTTTCGACTTCCTCGATATGTTTTTTGTGTGCCCTTCTCCACTTTTCTAGTTGTTCAACTCGAGAAACTTGATGCTTATCCAAATGATGGCTTTGACTAAGCGCAGGTTCAATTCGGGAGAAAATTTTGTTTTCTTGGTCCTTCACTTCCATCGTAAACTCCAAGAATTGATGAATACACTTCGAATTGTCTTTCATTATCTCTCCAAAAACCGCACCAATTGTCCTAATAAGAGAAAGATATATTCCTTCACAACAACTGCGCTGTTCCTCGCACCACTGTAGCAATTGTTCTACTTTTGGAGTTTCATCGACAGACGAATGGGTGCTCTTTGATTTTACTTTTTTCAGTTGCCTCCTTAGTTCTTGAACCCCCGATCTGGCTCTGATTAAGCTATTTTGGCGTAAAAATGATGTTTGCTCTGTTTCCATGGCAACTCCAAATCCTTGAACGGAAACAGGAACATCCTTGAAAAAAAATATATCTCTGTCAGGAAATTTACGGGTGCACCTCAGTAGCGTAGTAAAATCACGTTACTGGAAGGCATTCCGATACAGGTTAAACACAGAGTTCACCATGTGCTCAAAATTTGGCTCAAAAATGTTCACTTAAAAATAGGTTTTAATTGGGTTAACTTAGAACAAAAAATAATATTATTTTATGGGTGTTCACTTTATGCACTACTTATCGACAGCGTACATTCTGCAGCTGTCATCAAAGGTATCGTTAAAGGCAATAAAAATACCTCGTCAAGATTGGAACTTCGGAACTCTTCACAACTGCGCAGAGGTTTTACCTCGTATTTATTTCCTTGTGGATCTTTGCACAGCATCAGCTGTGGCGAAACGAGAATATGCAAATAAGCGAACTGAATAGAGCATGAATTGTGCATTAACTAAACATACTGGCATCGTGAGACTGACATATTTCGCCATTTAGTATTCATATGTTTGAAAGCATATGATGAAGCAATTATACTTTGTAATATAAAGCTCCAAACCTCGTTGCCACGTTTTGAATCCAACACTCTCAAACTGATTTCATCGCCTTCGCCAACATTAATAACTGTGGGAAGATTCTCATCACACATTTCTAGAAATATGTTGAGAAGGAAAACTAAATAAGTGTACTATTTAAGGGAGGCGTGGGCATCATTCTCCATCAAGGGATCCTATGAACTGACACTTTAGGGATGCCAGGTTTTTTCATCAAGTCCCGATATCGAGACAAGCGGGAGGGGGGCGCTCAAACATCTTAATAGCCCTTCACCGTAAGTCAGCCTTTGGCAGTACTTATTATTCAGTTATTCATGCGATACTGCCTCACAAATGCAGCAGCACGTAGTGCAGACAGAAAGATAGTTAAACCCCTGATAATGGAGCTAGCCAGGAGAGCGAAAAGAACTTCGAGATAGAAGACTTAGAGCTAGCGGATAGTAAATGACTATCAAGGAGAAAAAAACCTGTAACGGAAGTTTCCTTAAGGAGAGTGGTTCAGTTTAAAGGAGTTCGACTTTGCGAATTCTCATCGCTATCGTAAAGAGAATACTTTAATCCAAATACATCAGCCACCCACCAAGCACTCTATCCGCGATAGTTTTTCTTCCAATTCTCTCCAAAGCATCCGAAAGAATTCCTGCTGTTGCGCACTTTCCTCCTCTCTGTTTCCACAAAATGAGAAGGGAAAATGCTTTGTCCCAATTAGTTCTGCAATCTTCGTCCAGGTTTTGGATTTTTGATGAAGGAATTCCCAGTACTGGTCCTAGCTCGCGCCAAAAATTTCCGACGTCTTCACTGATACTTGCAAGTTGCATTTCTGTTACTAAACACCTTCTGCGATCGATAGTTTTTGCTGTGTATAGAAAACAAGGTTTAAAGGATTAAACTCCACGAGCGGATAATTGAAAAAATAGTTTCTTGAGGTATTCGGGGTAAAGTCTCAAATGAAATTTGAAACTGAGGAATGTAATTAGGGTGGACCTGTAAAGTTCCTGCACATGGTTTAACCCTTTCAGTAAACCCTAACATCAATATGCATACTGGCCATACTGTTCTCCATACATTTCCTAAGATGCTTGCTTCATTAACCATCAACAGCTTCTTTAGTTGGTGATCATTCCTTTATTCTCATGACCTTAATGATTGATTCAAGGGTGGTATTGTGAGGAGAAATTAGATGTTTGTCGCCTTAAGAGTTGAAGGAATAATAGTCACCAGCTTTTTCTGATTTCATATTGAGCCTTTGAACACAGCATGTATCTAGATATATACCTGCATATCATTATCCATTTGCTATTTCGAATTTTTCTTTTTTCTTTGCAGTAAGGAGCGACCAGATCTGAGTTAAAACTCTGAAACTTTTTTCAAGAGCCAGTTGGTAAAGCGTTCGAAAGGTATTGGTGAAGAACGGGATCTGTTCACGCCGAAGAAAGTAGATCAATAGGCTGAGCAGCCCATGTTTGTGTGTGCTCTGGAGCGTTAAAATGCTAAATTGTAAGAATTTTTATTCTTAAATGTCTCGCTCTCCTCTTCCCTTTTCATTTGAATGACTGAAATGAATGTTTCGTTTGCATTTCCTGTCGCTACATAAGGATCTAGTGTAACCCATCAGCTTCCACTTGTGTTAGGAAAACATAACTTAAGAACAACTGAACTGTCAACGTAACAGTCAAATTTTATAGAAATCAATGATGATATCAAATAAATTTAAAGAATGTTTAGCGCGATGGGTCTAGCAGAAATTATAAAGCTCTCATTTGAGATTGAGATTGGATTAAGCAGGTGTAGAATAAATTACAAGGAAAGAGCATGAGAACAAGAATTCCAATCTTATCTCGATCCTCTTATTTGACTGGGGTTTAGAAACTTGATCCCACGTAAATTGCAGCATCTTTCAGGTTTATGCTTCAGATATTTTTTACTTCATTCGACTGTTCTATTAATTATTCACAAAGCATTTGGGAAATATTTCAAGGTAAAAACAGCGCCATATTCATACTTCATACCATTAACAGAGGAATATTCATGATAAAGTCTCTAAGGAAACAACTTAACGTTCAGACATTGTCGGTTTACTCACGATATAACCTCGAGCTGATGAATAAAGATGACACACAGGAGATTTCAAAATATTAACCGAATTGACATACGTCCTAAGATATACTCAAAATACTGAAAGGGTTGTACTTTACCCAAAATATGGACAAACCTATCAAGAAATTAGTATCATAAGACTTAGTACTCAGTTTACCGTAAATTAAAAGGCTGGCTTCCAAACAGTTTAAATAATTGACGACTGCTAGTTATTTAATGAGTCATCAAACTGATAACAGACTTAAATAATAAACAAGGAGATTTCAGAAAGTTCCAAAAGTGTTCATAGTGCAAAAAAAGCGAGTTGTTTGACTCGCAAAATATTTAGTGAGTAACTTCAATTGTTAGGGGGTTGAAATTACGGTTTGGTATTAGGCAGGAATATACATAAAAGCCCTCATTGCTCTTGCGACATGTTTTGATTATTATAAGCACGACCAACTACGTATTTTTACTTGTATTGTGATATTAATTACCTCTCATTTCAACACATCGCTCCGATTCACGTTCATTCAGCTTTGTTTTCTTCATGTCCAAGGATTCATTCTCCCCGTCATGGGCTCCCGTTTTCTGTCTCTGAAGCGAAGTTCTGCCGTCCTCCCGTGAGTCAGTGCCATTGTTTAAGGGTGTCGCTCCGTCAGGTTCGGGCACGTCGTCGGTGCTGATTGTACAAGTTATTTCATCTATTTGAGCAGCCTCTTCCGACCGAGTGTGAACGCATACTTCCTTGGGTGCTTCGTTTGTCTCCCCGTTATTTTTGTAAACCACCGTAAACCACATCAGATTCGCTTGAATGTTCGTGATGTCTTACGGAGTTAAAGGTATTCAACCTCAAGTTGAAAGCATCCAACACGCAACATGTTATTAATCTATCACACTGAGATATTCCGTTAGACCATAACTAATCCTAATTGACCAATCACAACTAGTATTTTTTAAATTGCCCCTCTGGCTTGTATAAATGCAATGTCAATTTATTTTCAATTTAATGTTATTTTAACTAATTGCAATTATATTAAGGAGCAAACATCACATAACATAACGGAATTTTGTATGCACAGGAACACCAAGAAACCCTTTCGTAATTGTTCAGGAAACCATGATGGTAAGGATAATTATATCAAAATATGTTAATTGTGTATAGAGCACCCTAATCGTGTAAACGATGTTAATTGCATATTAGCCACTTTATAAATCTTCAACCCTTTCACTTAGAAAAAAAATTTGAATAAAATTATGTATTTAAAACATTTTCGTTCCCGAAGCCCATCAGTTTTCTCGGCCATTGGCGCCTCGGCACCGTTTTCAGATAAATCGAAGGGCTCTACACACGCACAAAATAATCCTTTTTTTCAAATTGGTCAAGTTCAGAAAAATGAAATCGTACTAAGAAAGCAAATCAACAACCAAAAAACGGAAGTGGCTTAAAAGACATAAAATCTTCATTGTATGAGCTAATATTGTCTGTGGAGCGGCAGCTAACTTCTACATGTAAAAATTAGCTAAGATCACTCCTGGAAAGATAAAACTCGTAATTTTTTTTCGTCTACGAGTCTCTCTCGATGTTATTCTGGTGATGGCGTAAACATCGACGGAAAGTTTTTTTTTTAAAATCAGATATTTGTTGGTTATTGATGTGTTATAAAAATATGTAAGCGAAATCAAGTTTAGAGCACAACAGTAATTTTTCATTTCATCTCCAGGGCATGAAAAATTTTGAATTCATACGCACACATACGTACATGAACTTTATTCGAGTGAGAATATGGTATTTCACTAATAAAGCTAATAAACTTGTAATGTATTTTATGTAATTATAATTGATAATCAATAAAGAAAAGAAAAAAAATACCATCCAAGTATACAAGAGTTCTCTCCTAATGTATCGTGAATCCTCAAACCGTCCCATAATCTAAAGAAAATACTAAAGCTGATTACCTAAATAGTTTGTCATATGCTTACGAATTTTTGTTCATCTTCAACCTGGCAATTATAACTTTGGCAATTCACCTTCATATCAAGGCGAACAAGAACTTTCTACCGTTGGTAATTGAGATTCATATTTTCTTACATTATATTTTTCAAATAAACAGATGGTCTACTAAATATGACAATAAAATGAACGATGATCAAAAATGAGGTTGTCAGTGTGCTCCTTTCAATATCTTTGCAGAGGGCTTCCTAAAAAAGAGGTTATTCTAATCGATTTTTCCGTTGTTAGCAATGTCAGTTCATGAGTTCTTTTGTGTTGACTCCTGCTCCCGAATTTGGTTTTGTATTCTTCATCGCTGACTCGGAGCCTCGGCATGCTGTATTTGTAACATTAATTCATCTGAATGGTGCAAATAAAGTTGAAAGTTGAAATTCGCTGGATGGTTTTGAGATGAGAAAAGGATGCGAAGTTATTTGTCTTCCGATCCCCGCCTCGAAAAGGGATTCTTGAAACATGAGGAGCAAAAAGAAAGAAAACTGCATTGTAATTAGTGTCGATGACATTGTTTTTTCTGGAGAAGATAATATTATCACAGTGCAACCAGGACTGAAGAAATAATAAAAAAGTAAGACCAGACACAATAAAGAAAGGAAGAAGTGTATAAGGCTGTAAGAATACATATAAAATATAATAATAATAATAATAATAATAATATTGTCATGTTAAGGTAGAGCTTTGTGTGGATTATTTATAAGTACGTAGGGTGGCCTCCCAGAGCTGAATGTCCCGCATTTCATTTTTGATCTTTAATATTTGTAATAAATTATTCGTTTTCATGTTAAAATCAATTTTCGTCCCAGCGCTGGCCAATTTTGCGTTGTTGGGTCATAGAAAAGTTCTGTTCGTGCTTCACTTCCAGCGGAGAAGACAGCCAAACATTTCCAAATTTTTCTTAGGTTCTTAGTTTGATAGTGGTATTTAAATAACGATTACATCATACCTTCATTTTGATCTTTTTTGATTTGTCACTTTCTGAATAACGTCTGGAACCCTGCAAAAAAAAGATAGAATTAAATCTAAACATAAACATTTAGCTACGTTCCTGAAAACAGTCGACAAAGGTAATATGAATGAGCGAATTAGATCTAAGATATGTTGAGCTTATTGTAATTATAGTAGGTCATATTTACCATGATTGTGGCGTAGTCAGTTACTTATCTGCAGTTTGATTCAGTCCAGTGATCTGTGTTAAGATAATCTCAGATTAAACTAAAATTTCCTTACCATCTCTCCGAGTCCTGACAGAGATCTTGAGCTGCATTCTGGCACAGAGTTCTAATGAGAGAACGTTACAAAAAAGAGACAACAAAATGTAGAAGAGAGAACATACAAACAGAAATAGTCAAGAAAGAGGAGAAAATTTATAAAATCATTGATGATAAGATTCTTCCCGCTCGTTTGAGCTCAATGAAAAAAAACCTGAGGCAGAATTCAATTAGAAACTTGAAGACTGACATAAGACTTCCAACAATTATGGACTACCAAGGCCCCTGTTTGGTCGGTCGCACAAAGTTTTATCTGTAATGTTATTTGGACGTCAAAACCTGGGTTTATCTCTCCTTCGATCTAAATCATTGTTTCATGAAACACCCCCACTGAGCTTTTAACAATTCAAATACAATTTGCAAGAGATATTAAGTAATTAAAGTAAAAAAATATTAGTCTATTAGAAATTACCAGCCTTCCTCTATTATTCGGCTCTCCCTCAGTTGTCTTTTGATGTATTACTGACATCAGCTTTTCAACTTCCTTGAATCGCACTTCATGACGCCTTTTCCATTTGTGTAATTTTTCAGCTCGATCCACGTGCTGCTCGTCCGAAAGTTGGCTCTGAGTAGGTACCGACTCGATCTTGGAGAAAAGTGTTATTTTTTCCTGCCGGAGTTCCATGGTAAAGTCCGAAAGTGGTTGAATCAGATTTACATTATCTTCACTCTGTTGCCCCACCTCGGCAGTCAGCTTGATAAGAACGTCAAACATTCTCTGGAAAAAGTTTCTATGTTCTTCACATGACTGTAGCAATTTTTCCACGCTTTCATCGTTTGGTGGCTTCACCTCTTCATTTAATAAACTGCTTGTTGGCTCTTTTTTGTCTTTGGAAGCATCTTTAATCCCATCTATCTCAACTACATTTCCACAAGCCAGTGGCCCTTTCTGCATTTGGAGCCTTAGGTCCTGATGCTTTGATGAAATGTAACGCGTTAGACTTTCCTGTCTCGCCGCAACAATAGTTTCTAAAAATCTCTTGCTCAAAAGTGTCTTTTAAAACAAATGAAATACAACTGGGTGAAAAAACTGAATTAAAACTACTAAATAATTTTCGAAGATGTACCCTGAATCACAGGGTGCGTTTTTCTAAATACTCATTCGAACATTCTATTTGGATAAATGGGATAGGTGAAGAAGTTACCTCTTCCAATTTCAAAAAATTGTCACTGCTGTTGAATGCCTTCACCGTGTACTTATTTCCCTGAGCATCTTCGCACATCAAAAGCTAAAAAAAAAGAACAAATAGTTGTTTGGAAACAAATTTGAACTTATTTACGAAACTTATTTTAAGAAAAATGTGTGCTAAACCAACACAATTTTTTTTACTTTACTTGTAAAGAGTGGTTGATAGTAAAGCTAAGTCCAGAAAATCACGAGTCCTAAACATTAGAACAATTGAAGCGATTAGCTATGGAGAAATCAAGGGCACACGTACCAGTCAATAGCTTGGAAATGAAATATAACTTTTTTGTAACGAATTATGTGTACTGTTTTGGTGAAAATTACGTATTTCGAAGCTTATTGTAGAATACGTGTTGTTAATTACTTACCTCATCAAGCCCTTTACCCAAGCTATGAATAACTATTAACCTGATAACATTGCCCTCCGGACCATCCAGTCCTAAACAGTAACATTTATATTGAGAAGAACTTATTATAGGTTAAACTCGATCAGTTCGAAGCTTCATCACCCCCCCCCTCCCCCTCAGCAGCCCCAGAACAAACGATACCAATAAACTAATGTCACTAATGTCACCATTTAGAATATCCGTAGTTAGGGAAAGATTTTTATTCCTTGCAAGAGAGCAATTACTTAACTTAGCAACCCTTTTCTTTAAACAACCAATTTTCAACAATCATGATTACACACAATCCGGATGATAGGGTCGCTGGAAAATTTATAGAGCACTTTTACGATTGAGTCTCGTAAAATCACACCCAGAGTTGTACCAACTGCCAATTAGAACAAAGGCAAATATCAGTGGTCAGGAGCCAATGAGTGCACAAAGCATAAACACGCAAAATACTTAAAGCGCGGGTCTACAAGTCCCGTTTGATTTTAGTCTTGAGTGGTGCGAGTTTCTTGGTAAAGGTCGTCAAAATCATTACAATCCAGAGTCACTTTCAACACCAAGTTGTCAATTGTTCTATCAAGAACTGCAAAATCCCCGAAATAGTAATCGCGTTCTTATTAATCAGTAGGTGTGTTGAGATAAGGACGAGTAAAATACTTTAGATCCACGGGTGCTATAAAAACATATGTTCGCAACAGCCTTCTCCAAACGCTCAAGGGGGGAGGGTATCGGCAGAACTATCACATTCCGCCTTTATGTTAAGATCAGACAGGGAAACTACGGAAATCGAAATCGATTGCGAAATATTGTGACAATGTCCACTGTTTCCAAGACTTCATCGTGTAGTTATTCATCCGGCTTTTCGGTTGTATACGCATTTTGGCAGCAATCTTCACAGACCACTCACTCATCTTACCAAGTATACCTACTTACCAAGAAGCTTTTCTGCAATGCATTTTTTCCCAATGCTTACTAAAGCATCCGCCAGACACCCTACCGATGCATTTCTCCCTTCTTTCTGTTTCCACAAGAGGAGTAAGGCGTTTGCTTTGTCGCGACTACAGCAATAATCGTTATCCAGGTTTTGGATCTTTGCTGCAGGGATATCAAGCTTTGGTCCCAGCTCACGCCAGCAAGTACCTACGTCATCACTTATGTCTGAAAGTTGCAGTTCTGTTACCACAGAGATCCCTGGGTGGTTGTGTGCACAAAGAGATATTAGATTCTTAGCTAAATCAACGTTTCAATTGGATGTAGTTTTTAACATTGGATTACGTGAGGCATCTTAGTCCAAATTTAATGAGGTTTTCTTCTTGCCTTGGAGTAAAAAAACTTACCTGGTGTTAATTGTACAATAATAACGTAGAGGGGTTAAGCTTCTGTATAGCATAATGAATTTTAAACAGCAGTATATGATCTCTATATAAACTCTACGCAGTTTTCATAAATTTCTAAATTAATTTTGGTAATAAATAACTCTAAGTTATTCATTCTCGGCTGTACTTTAGTCGACTTTGTTTTCTGGGAGCTGATTTTGATTTTGGATATTTCTGGTCTCCAGCGGCTTCATCAATATTAGTTATATCCGAAATTTAATTCACATATCTTCAATTGTTATTTCAATATTGCTTAAACTCTTTCAAATGTCACGCATCTCCTTGGTTATATTTATAACAAGATCTTACAAATGCCATAGTCAACCACTGAAGCATAACACAATACTCAGCAAACATAATGGATATGTCAGTCTACGGGCTCCTGCAATTTTGTTAGTCTTTAAAAAAATTTACTCGTGCTTATTTATTCCAAATTGCACTCGAAATCATGTGATTAACTATACAAACAGTGCTGCTTCCATTCTGACTTTTAAAAAAGGAGCAGCGTGATAAACTTGAGAAAAAAAAACTCATTGTAAATGGAGCCAGTTCGAGTTAGTACCTGCCCAGTCATGTTAGTCTCTAAAATCACTATAGCGGAACATATGTTAACCTTATACATTGTAAATATTACTCTAGCTTATCAACGCGGAAATGCAACAATCTCCCATCCAAATCACACATCGACAACTAAACTAACATCATGAAATATATAGAGCTTTAAGGTTAAATAAAAGACCAGTTATACGACAATTAAAAAACACAGATTAACCACTTTAAGATCGATGACAAGCACCCACGAAGACTCCCAGAAAGATTTGATAGTTAAATAACTGTTATATGATTGATTAAGCTTTGCGGATACAGAAAAACGTGCACCTGCAGAACCGAAGGATAATACTTAGAAACTGAACACAAGTAGTATTGTGACAAACTACCAAGACTGAACTAAACTAAATAGCCATACCTAAACCACGTACATAAATTTTATATTATGAAAGCTTACTTCTAATTTCAGTAGCATTCTCAGCTTCTATTTCGCTTGTCGCAGACAATGCCGGCGTCTTTTTTTCCTCGGAAGCCATAGGACTTGCTTCTCTTCTCTCTTCTTCTTGTTGTTTCCTTTACTTTACTTTCCCTCTGTGAATTGATAAAAACTTCGATGTTAACCTGAGGGCATTTTCGACAATATATTTGACCACATCTTGCCACAAGGAAATAAATATTACTCAATTGTTTGCCTATGTGTTCCTTCTCGTCCACTTCCACCACTGAAGCTACTCAAATCCTTGTGATATTGACAGAACTGACAGCTTTCACCTTCGAGCCAGCAAGTACAACAAAGTGTAGCAGATTACTACATTTCTCTCCTCGTGGATGAATTAATCTAATGATTAACAAACATGATGTGATGAAAAGGGAAAAAACCACCACAAATCATCATACCGAGGCTGCTCCGGATGGATGCAGGGCATTTCGATGTCCAACCACATCTTGTCACAAGGAAATTAATATTTCCTTGGGGGGAGGGGGGGAAAGTCGAAGAGATCATATACTTTTCATTGAGAGGGGAAGGGAGGGGGAATCAGTTGCGCTGACAGATTGCAAAAGGGGACCATGGAAAACATTTGTCAATGAAGGGGATCATTAGAATACTACCAGGGTGGGGTCAGGTTAATTTTACTGAAACCAGGAGACATCATGTCGCAACATGACCAAGCTCGTTGTCATTCCAGTCTCATAATTACATCAAAATATGTTAATTGGTGCACAAAGGATGTTTATCTTTTTCATTTAAACAATGGAATTGGATATTACCTTCTTAAGAAATCTTCAACCCTTAACGTAAAAAATTTCATCCATTTATGTATTAAGAACATTCTCGTTCCCAGAGCCCGTCAGTTTTCTCGGCTGCCAGCGGCTCAGCACCGATTTAAAATAAAAAGAAGAGCTCTAGACACGCACAAAATTAGCCTTTTTTTCCAAATTTGTCAATTTGTACGAGTGAAAATTAACTCGCACCTCGAAAGATTAAACTCGTAAGTTTTTTTCGTCTCCGAGTCTCTCGATTCTAGCTCTGGTAATCATGACATAAAGTTCAACAAGCAGTTATTGTACTTACAAAAATCAGACTCATGGTAATTATAGAGGTGCTTTCAATTGAAATCGAGATCAGGTGAGAATACTAACAACCCCTTTTTTTCATTTCAAGGGGACGAAAAATTTCAAGTTCATACGCACACATAAACATTTGAATTTTCATCCAAAAGTAAAGAGAGTTTTTCGCTGATAGAGCTACTTGGAGACACTTGTAATAGAATTAAAATGAAATTTATACTCGAAAAATAGCACTTCGCCATCTAATTAGGCAAAACTTCTATCTCCAGGTATCGTGAATCCTCGAACACTCGTGATCCAAAGAAAACACACTTCAGAAAGGCAGTGTCGTAATTTTAAATTTGCCTCTCGCAGAGAGCGTCTTCGAAAAGAGGTTATTCTAATCAACTTTTTTACTGTAAACTATTTTAGTCTCTGAGTTCTTCTGTGTTGTCTCCCGCACCCGAATCTTTAGTTTGATGTTCTTCATCGCTAATTGCATTTGAGATCGTTAGGAGAACGCAAGTTGTCAACCGTGCTCTTAATTATTCACAAAGCATTCGCGAAATATTTCAAGGTAAAAACAGCGCCTATTCATAATTCATGCCATTAACAGAGGAATATTCATGATAAAGTCGCTAGGGAAATAACAACGTGCAAACTTGTCGGTTTACTCACAATATAACCACAGGCTATACCCAAACGCTCAATTAGCTTACAGCGTGCATCATAGCACTGAAACTGCTCTTCTGAAAGTGAAGAATGACATCCTGCTCAATATGAATAAACAACATATAACCCTTCTAGTGCTACTTGATCTTAGTGCTGCTTTCGATACAGTCCAGCATAATATCTTGCTGGAGGCACTCAATGCATTGGGACTTAGGGGCAGGGTGTCCAAGTGGTACCGATCGTATTTATCAGGGCGCAGTCAGAGGATATTAGTTCGTGGGTGTCTGTCGAAGAGGTTTGATTTGAACTATGGAGTACTCCAAGGCTCCTGTTTAGCACCGCTCTTGTTTACCATCTATACGAGCTCGTTACTAGACGTCGTCGAAAAATATCTTCCATCTGCCATTATTATGCAGACGATACCCAACTTTACGTCTCTTTCCACCCCGCAGATGGGACAGGTCTCTTGGATGCCATTACTGCTCTTGAGTGTTGTATCAAGGCGATCAGGTTTTAGGTGCGTAAGAATAAACTATTATTGAACGAGGAAAAAACTGAGCTTCTTTTAATTGGCACGAAGCAGCAGCTCGCCAAAGTTGATATTGGACACATTAAAGTTGGCAAAGTAAATATAGGTCCGCACTCTCCTGTTAAAAACCTTGGAGTCTGGTTTGACTCAAACCTGTCTATGGTTGATCATATCACCAAGACTTGCTCTGCAGCGTTTTACTATCTTTATGAAATTAGAAGAATAAGAAAATATTTAACAAAAGAATGCACGGAGACACTTATTCATGCCTTTATATCTAGCTGCTTGGACTATTGTAACAGCCTCCTATTTGGAGTTCCTGAGTGCCATCTTCACAAATTACAGAGAGTCCAGAATGCAGCTACACGCCCTATATTCCAGGAGGGCAGATTTTGTCATATCACACCTCTGCTCAAGTCACTACACTGGCTACCTGTAAAATATCGCATAGTTTTTAAAATTATCCTAATTACTTTTAAAGCAATACATGGTCTTGCCCCGGCCTACACAAGGGAGCTGATTTCTGATAGAGACACCGGAAGATATGATTTATGTTCAAATGACGGCTTACTCCTGGCTCCTTGCAAGGGTAAAGCACTCACCACGCTCAGCGATCGATCTTTCCATGCGGCCGCCCCTAAACTGTGGAACGATCTTCCGGGCTCTATCAGAAACACCCAATCTTTAAACAAGTTTAAGAAGGCCATTAGGACTTTTTTATTTGCAAAAGCTTTTTAATTCTTTGCATCTAATTTTATATTTTTACATCTTCTTGATAAACATTTTAATTTTTTTTTTTAGTTTTTAGTATCTATGTAGGGTTGAATTTTTAACATTTAATGGTAATGCGCAATTGAAAATTCCTTTAATTGATAATTGCGCAATATAAATCTATAAATTATTATTATTGATGAATAAAGATAACACTGGAGATTTCAAAATATAAACCAATTTAACATACGTCCAAAGATACCGAAAGGGTTGCTCTTTACCCGAAATATGGACAAAACTATCGAGAAATTAGCATCAGAAGACTTAGTACATAGTTTACCGTAAATTAAAAGGCTGACTTCTAAACAGTTCAAATAATTGGCGAGTGCTAGTTATATAATGTGTCATAAAACCGATAACAGACTTAAACAATCAACAAGGAGATTTCAAAAAGTTCCAAAAATGTTCATCTTGCAGAAATAGCGAGTCGTTTGACTCGGAAAATGTTTAGTGAGTAATTTTAATTTTTAGGAGTTGAAATTACGGTTCGGTATTAAGTAGGAATATGCATAAAAGTACTCATTGCTATCTCGGCATGTTTTGATTATCATAAGCACGTACATCTACATATTTATTATTGTAATACTTACTGCTCATTTCATCACATTGCTCAGATTCACACTCATTTAGCGTTGTTTCCTTCATGTCTAAGAATCCATTCTCTCCGTCATGGGCTCCCGTTTTCTGTTTCTGAAGCGAAGTTCTGTCGTCCTTCCGTGAGTCAGTGCCATTGTTCAAGGGTGACGCTCCGTC